GCTCTCAAACCCTGGACAGGTACACACAGCTAGTGTGTCTTCAGAGGCTTTTTGAAGGAGCTGTAAAAACCAACTTCCTAGCCTAAGGGTGTTTCACATTACCACCTTAGAAATTACCCCCTGCTCCACTGGTTTGTTTCACAGCTTGCCCTCCCACCCACCCAGCTGTCCACATCAGTACAGCTTAACTAATGTCAGATTCGTTTGTTTGTATACACGCCAGGAGGTGTTGGTGAAGCAGGGATGTCAAGAGACGAATCAGGAACAGCTTTAAGGATTCCAATTGATGTGAAGCTGGATTGCGCATTGCTGCCTCCAGCATAGCCTCTTCCCTGTAGGGATGGTGGTTAAGGTTGGGGTGGCACCTGTAGAACCAGCACTGGGAATCTGATCCTCTTGCTGATACAGTCATGACACTCACCAGTCCTGTCCTGTCCAGGTAACAGCAATGTTGCTGGTGGGAGGAGGGCTCTATGGCTGTTCCCACCCCATGCCCACTGTCTGAGATTAGCCTACCGGTACCTAATGAAGGGGTCATGTGCCAGGACAAACCTATCCTCTAAACCACTAAGTTTACAGCACTTAGGGGTAATAATGCTGTTTCAGCAGATGACAATGTCGCTCTTGCTGTGAAAAAAATACTGGCGTTGTGCTCCCCTGTGTTCCTCCTCTGCTACACTACTGGTCTATCTTCTGGGGGGGAAACATGATATAAAACTTTAATTTTGATGTTTTGCTGGGTCATACCTTGTGTGCTTTGTTGCGATATGAATTGTTCAGCTCCTTCAAGGAATGAGGTCTAATGACTTGATAAATCTTTTCTTGGATTGTATTATTTTTTAAAAAAAGACAACAACAAACAAACCTGTTAAATCAATCAGAAGAAGTCAGGAGAGTTTCCCCTACTTAACCTGGACTCCTGCTGGTTTTCTATACAGCTGAGCAGACAACCCTGTCACAACATTATAAGGCCAATTAACTTCTCGGCTGGATAGGGGAACCATGCAGTGACTTTTTCAGCAAGCCACAGACACTCTGGCAAGGCACACCAAGACTTATTGAAAGAAGCACCTTCATTCTGAGAAGGGCTAGGAAAACTTCCCTCACGTCCTTGTGACTGTATATTAAATCAGAAGTGAAATATTACTGTATATATGCGCTTGTGGATGGAAGGAAGGCCTGTACACAGTGCTTGGGGTAAAATCAACTTGCCAATGTTATTATAATCACCTTACTGATGTTGAATAGGGCCGAGGACTTTAGAAATATTTGGACAAATATGGTGTCAGGCTATTGTCCTCATGCCCTGCTTGTGGACATCATATAAGGCTCTGTGAGAAACAGGATGTTGGACTAAGCAGTGCTTTGATCCAATAGATCTCAGGGAAAACCTGCTCTTTAGTGCTAAATTGGAACAAACATCAGTCCAGAGAAAACTCGAACTGCCGTTTGCTCTGACTGAACACAAAAGAGAAGTTTTCTCAAGGGAAAGTTGCAGGACAACAGGAAGTGTGGCTGAGCCCTCAAAGGTGCTCATGGCAAATGTTTCACCTTTCTATTTGCCACCTTAAATGCTGAAAAACTAAGGCCATTGTTACTATTATTCCTTTTCTTTCATGTTTTATATTAATATTCCGCAATTACCTTACCTCCCAATAGTCTCCCATCCAGGGAACAGATCAGATCCGCACCTGTTTAGCTTCAGCACTTAGGGAGTAGCAGGTGTTCCCTGAGCCCAAGTAAATGTTGCATTTACTAATCTACTGACTAAACCAATTAAAGTTTGTAACTATGTTTGTAGGTGAGGGAACTCAAATAACACCCATCTAATCTGGCTGGGGGGAAGATAATTTAGTGGAAAGAGTTATAGACATGTTAATTAAAACAACTAGTGACCCTCATCGTTTGGATTGATTTAGGGAACTCAGTTAAAAACAAAAGTCATTATACCTCACATGAAGTCTCCACGGAGAAGGTCAATGGCTTTAGGCCTCTCTCTGCAAGGAAAATGGCTAAAGAATTAATTTCTGAGCACCAGTTAAGATTAAGCCAGTCACAAGGCATCTTAATCACAAGACTTTTTTTGCACAGCGAGGGTCATGCTTGGAGCAACATTCTAAGGGAAGCTGATCCAAAACCCATCTACCGGTATTTCCTTGGTCCAGATGGGACAAAGAGGTGTTTGGTTCCCGCAAAGGGACAGAGTTGAATTAAAAATAGCAGAATTGGAATTAAAAATACTAAAATAACCACCCCCATCACTACAAATCCTTGTAAGAAAGCTGAGTCTGTAACACAGATGAACTGAAGTTGTGGTTCATAACCTCTTTCTCCTTCCCACCTTAGAAACAAAAGCTGCATTTCTTAACAGATGACCTTTTTTTGATTATTCACTAACAGCAGTCGGCTTGAATAGCTAGGGAAATGTTACATAACCCATTGCTGTGAGTGCACTGTTGAATTCGAAGGAATGCCATTCCTGAAGTTTGTTTAATTATAGCCCAGCACATCAATGTGGTGTCCATCTTTGTTCTCTCTCTCTTTCTCTCTCTGGATTGCCAGTGAAATGTCACAGCTTTGGCTTTTGTGGAGGTCAAACACCAGCCTCACTGTTAAGTTAAACAAGGAGAGCTTCTCAAGCAGCCATTGTTCAGAGATTCTTTCCAGGAGGGAGGTGCCGCCGACCAATTATCTGCCCTGTTCCCAAATACTCCAAAGCACTTTTACACTCTGCTTCTTTCATTAATTGGATTATTTGTTTTCAAGTATCTTGCTGAGAAAGTCAAATTGTCCCACGCCTGGTTAGCAAAAGCCTAGGATAATTGTGATTGGTTTGAAATGGTTTGAAGTGGGATGAACAGAGCATAGAGGTCTGTTCTGGTTCCTGAGCCTGCTGTGACCATTTAGTACATGCTGGGCTTATCCCCAGATGCCAGGGGATCTGAATCAGCCATCCTATAGTTTAAACATCATGCATTGCACACATGTCGATCCACTTTTAAAGAAGAAATGAATCCAGTCAAACTACTGGCAGGACTTCCAAAATTAACCACACCACCACTGTGGAGAACACCAGCCCTGTGTGTCCCCCACTGCAAATGAACAGCGCTTAGCACAGAAATCACAGCCCCAACATTTAAAAAAATGTAAAAAGTCTGCAAATTAAGCAATGGTGGCATGGAGACACAGCACAACTTACTTGCTGTTAGAGAGGGAAAGGGAGGAATTGGTGATGGCGGGAACAATAAAATGGATAGGTGTCAATGGTGGGGAGAAGTGTTGACGCAATAATGTGGGAGCATTGGGAAGCATTGCAGAACTACTGATAAAAGTGGGATGTGGATGATCTTGTATAAATGTATTTCAAATGCACTATTAATGAAATCAGCAACATGTTGCTACATACGTCTACAATAAAACAGCAGTCTGGATGGGTTCTACTGCTATTTTATATATTGCTGTCCTTGCCATGATCTAATTCTAGTCCTCATTTTCTATCTCTGTGTATCTTCTCGGAGGTTAGAAATAATTGTATTGCCACGCATAAACACCATATCATTCCACACACCTGAACCACTTGGCAAGATGAGATAGCGAGCTCACTGGCCAGGGGTGGGAGAGTTCACCCCATCATTTGTATGTGCTGTCAGCCTCATTCATAGGCTTGTGGTGCTCTATGCGGCCAAGCATGCCCCCCCAACAACAAATGTGCTTTGCATCTCTTCTGCTTTCTGTCTTGATAATGGCTGTACTTCTCCACATTGGTTTAAAAGCCACTCCATATTTAGCCCTTTATGCCACCTATTGATTTCAAAATCTTCATCTTGGCACACAACTGGCATACAACTGAGGGCAGGTGACCAGCCTTTGAGCATGATAGCACTGAGCATGTAGTGCAGGATTAGCTGCCTCTAAACAACCCCAAAAGAACATTTGTCTGCTGTTAGATGAGTGGCAAAGTTGTGTTTAGGAGCCTGCACACTTTATGATTGATGCAATATATGATCAAAAAACTATAGCTAGGATTTCATACTTATATGAATAGTGGGAAGGAAGGAAGGAAAGAAGGGAATTTGAAAAATACTCTTGTTCGACAGCATCTATTTTAAAAAGTACAGTTGCCCACTCTGGACTATGATGAGGTTTTGTAAAGGTAAAGGACCCCTGACAGTTAAGTCCAGTCGCAGACGACTCTGGGGTTGCGGCATTCATCTCGCTTTACAGGCCAAGGGAGCTGGCGTTTGTCTGCAGACAGTTTTTTCCGGGTCATGTGGCCAGCATGACTAAGCCGCTTCTGGTGAACCAGAGCAGCACACGGAAACGTCATTTACCTTCCCACCAGAGCGGTACCTATTTATCTACTTGCACTTTCTGGTGTGCTTTTGAACTGCTAGGTGGGCAGGAGCTGGGACTGAGCAACGAAAGCTCATCCTGTCGCGGGGATTCGAACTGCCAACCTTCTGATTGGCAACCCAAGAGGCTCAGTGGTTTAGACCACAGTGCCACCTGCGTCCTTAGTTATAGTTATTATGGACCTGACCGGTCTAGCCAGGGACTGTGGCCTTTGGCCCTATATGAACAATGCCTCACATGCAAAGACTGAGGCACAGATCTGGTGGCATTCTCCTTACAAAGAAACAATGGGGGAAAGACAGCTTTTGCTGCTAGACCAACAGGTGAGCAACTAAAAGGATAATCTATCACAGACATAATATGTGAAGCAGTGTGTTGAACATCAGGAGGGAGTGACAGGACCATTTTTTTAGCCATCCTATGGCCTCCTCATCCTGCTTCAGCTTCCAAAGAAAAGGAAAAGACTAGGCTATTGGCATCATTTGGTTCATTTTGCTTCAGAAATGAACCCAGGATGAAACACACTATATGTATTAGCTTTTCATTAGTCATGGTAATGAAGTCCCTCAAGAAAAAATCTCCTATTTTCTCCTAAAAATGAATGTGCCCTCAGTTCGTCTATGGCCATGAAAGACATCATAGTCCTCTTTCTTATTGCTTATAAAGTTTATTTGTTTTAAAATTGAAATTAGAGATGATAATCTCAAAACAAACATGCTGAGGGAGGAAAGGAAGGTTTTTTTGTAACCATCCCAAGGAATACAAATAGAAAAATGAACCTTTTGCAAAGACACATTGGGCTCTCCCCCGCCCCCTCCCATCATGCCAGTGAGTGTAAAATTCCACAAGTTTTAAAAATGATAATGAGCCCCCCCACACACACCACATTTGGTGGTCAAATGTACAAATAGGATTCTATAGGCGCATGAAAAAAGAATATTCCAGAGCACAGATCTTTATCACATGTGCCCACTCATGGATACTGTGCTGTTGTCATGGCAGTCTTTGTATAAAAAGCCAAATGAGAAAGAAAGTTGTTTATATCCATGTTGAAAATGCTGCACCAGGGCCTGAAATCCATGCCAAATCATTTTAAAAACACAAAGAGCTCTCTTTATATAGTGAAGCAGTGTGCTTTTCATGGCGCATGACTGCAGGCTCCTGGTCTCATCACTGGCATTTTAAGGGCTCTCTGATAGAAGGGCAAGTAAACCCCTCAAATGCTGGCCATAGAGAGACCCTAAGACCCCCCCAAATTTTTGTATGCCCCAAACTTACTTCTAACTACAACAGCAGTTCCTACTTAGCCTTAGCACCTTTGTATAAATATAAGACCTCTCCTGTGACATTTCTGTTTATTTCACAAAAAATAAAGTATGCCTATTAGGGTTTTGCTAGGGATTTTCTTCCCCCCTGCATGAGCAACACCCCCCTTTTCAGTGGAGAGATAAGCAATACAAATCCCAATCTCTCTCTTTTATTAATATGAGGGTCCTGCTTGGCAGAAGGTTTAGAGATAAGATAATTCTATGAGGGCCAAAGTAGGGACATAGCATTCAGCTGCATAACTTGCTATTCCTGAAATGATGATAAAGGAGCCTCATTCTTACTGGGATGGCAAACCCATGAATGTCACCGGCCTCCTACTAATTATCAGAAGTCTCCCCCACTCCCATGTATTTTGGAGCCTTGTTTAAAAAAAGAAGTATGTCTTCCCAGTAAGAATTAGGTTCTTCTGCACCTGCAATTATTTAAGACAAAACAAGGTACATACCTTCCTGCTACATATTAAACTCATTTCTTGGTTTGGTTTGATCTGTTGTGGTTTTGCCATGAAGCTGGTGTTGGCAATTAAGAAAAAAATCCTTCTGTGGTAGTTAGTTGATCTTTGATTTGTCTTTTTTTAATAGAATAATGGTTTGTATTATATGGTTTTATGTACAATGGTTGTAAACTGCTGTGATTTTTTTTTTTAGAAGTGGCGGTATATAGATATAATTATAAATCAGTAAAGCTAGGTGACGCTGCTTCTGAGGACAAAGAGGGACGCCGTTTCCTCACCTCAATCTGCCTCCTCTACATATTACCCACAATTAGCAGGGCAAAGGTGTCATTTGTACTTCTTAATTCAGGCGGGAAAACATGGTAGCAATAGCAACAGGCATGAAAAGCACCAGGTCGTCAATATGGCGTGCAGGGCAGTTTATTACATCTCACCTGTGGCCTGAGGTTCTGTCAAAGTGGGGCTTTGGGGGATGAAGTCCAAGGGTCCCATTCAGAAGAGGAACAGGAAGGCCCCTCCTCCCCGCTGGCAAGCAGCGTTTGGAAGTAAGTGAATTGATGCATGTTACTATCTAAAGAGGGCTTTCTCCCATAAGACCATTAAATCCGGAGTCTAAAATGACCTAACTGCACCTGCGATTAAGGACTCAGGACTTCGGCTCTAGTGGCTCAGCGGCAGCCTTCAGATTTAAGAACAAGGGTTTTGGTTCTCATAACTGCTCTCCGGTAGGCAGCACCTGGGACCTGAAATGTTTAGTCTCCCACAGGGAGTATGTTAAAAGATTATCCACCCTCTGGTGGCTGACTGTGGAGCAGCATTGCAGTGCTATTTCCTGACCGGCCCCTGAGTAAATGCACTGTTGTGAGGACTGCGAGCAAAGTGAATAAAGCCAGGATTTTAAGCAAGAAATAAAACCAGCCAAAAAGATATGGAACTTCTGAATTATATTATTTAGGTGGAGAAAATATTGGCGATTTTGTTTTTCTTTTTTTACATGCCAGTGAATGGATTTTCCCACAAAAGCGTCTTTCACTTGCAGCTGCAGAGGGGGAAACGAATCCCTGCTCAGGCTAGATGTGCTGCTCACCTTTATATTTAATCAGCCACGCAGCAATTTTTATGAGTCTCCCCTATGACCGCACATGCTTTTAGTGCTGGTTTTATGTGTCCTGCTTCATTGGAAGTCAAGCTGGTATGCCATGTTAAGTGCTAGAGGAAAGGGCAGGGGTGAAAGGAAATAGGGCAGCAGTATCCTATGGGTTGTGTTCACCGGCTGCATGTTTTGAACAGCTGGGTCACAGCCTGTCGCATTCGATATCAGGGTTGTTGGACGGGGTATCAAAAGCACCAAGATACACCTCCCTGTTGACAGGGGGTGGGGTGTTAGAACGACTCCCCACACCAGAATCAGGACTCAGTGCAGGATGAACTTCTGGCGCGTATTTCTCCTCTCTCTGAGAAGGCGAGTTCTCCTGCTTCTGCTTGAGGTTCTTGAACCGCTTGAGCTTCACAGGGTCCTTGATCTCTTTGGCACAGTGCAGCAAGACGAGGATGTCCTTCCGGAATTTGGAGCTCATTCCAAAGTAGATGATGGGGTTGTAGAAGCTGGCAGATTTTGCAAAAAGGCTGGCGAGGATGCTGGTTAAATTGGGCACAGAGTAACCATAGGCGGACCACATGGAGATGACCGCGTATGGGGACCAGGCTGTGATAAAGGCTGTGCAAATGACTATGGAGACCTAGAGGAGAGAAAACGAGACTTGCCAGTTTCCACTTTCTTGCCCAAGGGATCCCTGTAAAGAAGGTGGTCCTGGAAAACTGGGAGACTTGGATCGTATTTCCAAGTGTCTCATTGGCCCACAGACCTAATAAATAGGTTTCAATCCTCTAGAATTATCTGTCGCTTAGCTACCTCACATTTTAAGGTTGTCTAAGCTTTACAAGTGTTTTATATTAGAAAATTTAGTTTGCCCCTCACAAGCGCTGCATTTCCCAGCACCCTCAACAAATTACAGTTTCAGGATTCTTTTGGGGGAAGTCACGGGCTTTAAATGCATGGTTTGTATTCAGCCACACTGTGTGCATGTGTGTTTGAGAGGAAAGGGGGTGGCAGAGAGAGAAAAGGAGTATCCGTCCCGCTTTTGACTTTAGCTCCATCCACCACTGGCCTCAACTCCACCTACCCCTTGTATGCTGCTCTGACTACTTCTCTGAAGGAAATGCAGCCCATGGCTTTTAAAAGTTTCTCCACCCAATGCAGACTAAAGAAAAGCCCAGACTGACCCTTGTGACGCTTCGTTCCATTCGCCTCTGTCTATCAGTTGGGTCACCTGCTCCGCTTAATGCATGGCTCGACTTGACAGTATTGATGATGGACACATAAGCGAAAACCATGACAGACACAGGCAGGAAGAAACAGCAGATGAAAATGGACACTATATAAGACTTGTAGATGGTTGAGAAGTTAGCTTTTGCCCAGTCTATTTCACATGTTCCATACATGCGATCTAGGAAGCAAAATAACTTGGTTAGTCATTCGTTGTTGTTTTTTAAAAAAGCTTGCTGCAATTTACCAGTTTTAAAATTCATCAAGATTAATTTCTCTTTAGAATTCCAAGTGGAAAAGAAAATTGAAATGTCTTAATGAAGTCCAAGAATTACAGCAGTTATTGCTGTAATCTTCACTTTAGTTTAGCTTTCCACCAGAGTAATAAGCAACCACTTATTACTTAGGGTGGCGCTGTGGTCTAAACCACAGAGCCTAGGGCTTGCCGATCAGAAGGTCAGCGGTTTGAATCCCCGCAACGGAGTGAATTCCTGTTGTTCGGTCCCTGCTCCTGCCCACATAGCAGTTTGAAAGCATGTCAAAGTGCAAGTAGATAAATAGGTACTGCTCCGGCAGGATGGTAAATGGCATTTCCGTGTGCTGCTCTGGTTTGCCAGAAGCTGCTTAGTCATGCTGTCTGCGGACAAACGCTGGCTCCCTCGGCCTATAGAGCGAGATGAGCGTGCAACCCCAGAGTTGTCTGCAACTGGACTTAACTGTCAGGGGTACCTTTACCTTTACCTTTAATAAGCAACCACGTGCAACCTGCCCTTTTTAGCACAGAAATGGCAATGGGTTTGGTTGCACCACCACCAAAAGTGGCAATAACAAAACAGCCATACACTGTTGTGGGGGTGTAAAAATGCACAAGGAAAGAGCTTCCCAGCCTCCTTTGGAGATAGTTCTTCTTGAGTGGGTGAGGCATGAAAGATGCACAATCCAGTGGCGTAGCGTGGGGGGTGAAGGGGGGGCCGGCCGCACCGGGTGCAACATCTGGTGGGGGGGGGCGCGCTCACACTCGCAGCTCTCTGCCCCTACCTGGCTCACTCACTCTCTCTCACAGGTTAGGGGGCACAAATTACTTGCCTTGCCCCGGGTGCTGACAACCCACGCTACGCCACTGGCACAATCACAGTAGTGCTACAGTGCTCCTATGCTGACAAAGTGATCCCCCCACCAACAGGAGTTCCTTTGAAATAGTTCCCACTGAGCAATGCAAAATGCTAAGTTAGAATTTTAAAAATCCATATGGATTTTCAGGATAGATGTGTGACTCTTCAGTGAGATTTAGTTTGGGATTTTGAAGACTAAAAAAATTAAGATTAGTGATGCAATCCTAAATATGTCTATTGGACTCAGAAGTAAGGAAAATAGGGCTTACACTCAGGAAAGTGCATAAAGGGTTGCAGTCTAAATTGTAAAATGGTGATGCCTACGTCTAGAATGCTTAGATCTAGAAAACTGACCTAGATTCCAGCACTATTAGACTAAAATAGTGTAAAAATAATACTTTATTTAAATTGCTCATTGTAGATATTGGTTGTTGTGTTTCCAGATTCCCACACATACTTTAGAGAGAAATTCCCACAAAGACCTTCTCCTAGAGAGAAATTAATTACCTGTGTAACTGCCCCATCCCAGGACTGGAGCTACTGACCAGAAGAAAGCTGCTATCCATATAAGAAAAAGGGCCACATTGATGTTGCTATTGTTGATACAATGCCCTGAAATACACAGCAGAAATTTGGTGCTTAACTCATTTTGCTATTGTACACTTAAGGCACACAGTCATAATAAAGAAAAATGGCATGGATACATTTGTGCAACCAGGAATCCTTGTAGATTCCCTACCCTTGATGGAAATATTGGGATTGCAGCCCTTAGGTTGGGAGGTTTTGCTGCAGATTTAATGAACCACAGATTAGCAGTGTTGCCAGAACCATAAACTGTGGTTAATCTTAACAATGGTCAGTTGAAACAAGAAAGCTTCATAAACTATAGTTAAGACTAACTGCATTTTGTCCAGGTTTGGACACAAGGCTTAACTGTGATTAGTCTTGAGTGGAAGCAAAAAACTTCTGAACTACTCCTGGTCCTAATAAAGGAGAAAATGGCAAGTGAGTGTGCACAAGTTTAAGGTTCACTTGCTTGCTACCTTAATGATAAACCATGGTTTATTGTTACAGTCAAATTAGAACAATATGTCTATAAGAGATTCTCTAGAATCAAGGTGGAGGGAATAACCCAGTTTTCTTTTAAAAACATTTAAATTAGGGCAAGTTTGGCCTATTGTAAGAAAGGAATACCTGTGAGACAGGATATCAAGCCTTAATAACACAAAGCCATGCAGTTTGTGTTGTCCAAAATACCTTACCTCTGTCTGGATGACATCCTTTTATATAGCGAGTCACGCTAATCACTGTGAGTGTGTTAATGCTAGCAAGGCCAAACAGCAGTGTCAGAAATCCATCAACCTGGAAAAACAAATAGTAATAGGGTTGTTCCCACATCTAAGTTTCAGAATGCCAGGAGCAATAACAAATATTGGGATGGTGCCAGTGAGCTCATATGTTCTTTAGGGCATACAAGCATCTTAGATATCAGTGAAATATTGAATGTCAGGGAGAGTTATCATCCATATGATCAGTGAACATGTAGGTATCTGAAAACCAGGGATAAATCATGTGGTTGAGGAGTACATTAAATGAACAAGCAAACACATGCTTTAGACACACACTCCTAAGCTCCTGAATTACTGAAACGCAAAATAAAGAATAAAAGTGCATTTAACATTCTGTACAGAGAAAGACTATGAAGCAGTCAATCGAAGTATGCCATTGATTTCAGTGGAAGAGGCTCAGTTAAGTCAGTGGGGCTTGCAAAGTGCTTAACTTTGGATGGACTGTAGCCAAAAGAACTAAGCAGAAATCGAGCAGCTGAAACTCCCTATGCCAGGGAACGATTCACCCGCTAAAATAGCTTAGCTACAATGATCCACACTTGTCTGCCAATCTCCCGGTTGGACAACTGTATACATGGAGCTGCTCGTAAAGATAACTCAGAAGTTTCAGAATTTAGTTCAGAATTTGGCCGCCAGAATTCTGTCATGTGGGTAATTATAGAACTTCTTAGATTATTTCAATGACTGCCCATTCACTTCAGGTCACACTTCAAAGTGCTGCTGCCTACCTTTAAGGTTCTAAATAGAGCCCTGCATGCCCTGCCTTCTCCCATACTATCCTGCCCTTGCAGTAAGGTCTTCTCTAAGAACTGTCACTTGTTGAAGTGTCTTATGCTAGGAAAAGGTCTTTACTGTGGTGGTGCTCTGACGGACTGGCATTGACCTTATAGTCCTTTGGGCACAAGGTTTAGACATGATTCTTTCCCCAATGATTAGAAAGCGACTACATATATTTGGTTTTCAGTTTCTGTCTCTTAGTTTTAGTATGGTTTGTTTTCATTTTTAGGATACTTTATATCTGGTTTTTATTGCATTGTGTTATTGTTGTCCTGCTGTCCATTTGGATTTACACGTTTTTGGAGTTGCGTACTATTTCATTACCCCTATTCTTGTGGTTTTAACAGCAGCTTGACAACGGCGTGCAATTGTTTATCAATAGGGATTTTCAAATAATGCAATGAGCACATTAAAACTGAATGCCAAACCATGGTTTGGTGTTCCAAGAATAATTCTTGAAGAACACTGTGTTTGTGGGCTCTTGCCTTCCACAGCAATCATTCTTGGTTAACAGAAAAGTATGGTTTGAAGACAATAACAGACTATGACTTTAAATGGCAAAGAACTATCATTTGCTGTAAAATTTTCTAAGTGCTGAGAATGAACACAGGAGGGAGAGCATAAGCCCAAAACTCATTTAGCTTATTTGACTAGTTTATTTACTCATTTGGTCTGTGTAGTTCTCTTCTTCCATACATACAATAACTGCTCAAAAATCCTACAAATAATATTCCATTAATAAATTGGGACTATTCAAACATTACACCAACAACCTACATTGGTGACTGGAATATTATTTGTTGGACTTTTGAGAAGTTACCATACTTACTGAAGTGTGGAATAAAATAACCACTCAGGCATCTAAACTGGCAAATTAACTCTGACAACTTTACTAAACATCAAGGGTGTTTAGCCAATCTCAGTATTGACTCTGTCAGCTCTTCTTACCAATTAGAAAATATTAGCAGATTGTCAGTTTTGCTTCCCATCCCACAATTACATCAATACTGTTGTGGGCAATTTAGAGAGTAACAAATTTTTGTTCACTGATTGCGTGCTAAGACAAGGAAGGGTCCCATATTTTAAACTGCAATATGCCCAGAGAACCCTATATCTATATCTCAATGTGCCTTTGCTTGAGGGCAATTCCCGTTTAACTCAAAAGCAATTACTTCCTGGTAAACATGTACAGGGCTGAGCTGCTAAATATGGAATGTATGTTTTTGGGGACTTCAGCTTCAGACAGCAAATTCATTTATTCTCCCAACTCTGGTGCACGTAACAAAAGCCTGACACACAGAAATATAGATGAAGCTTTTTCTGGTATGAATATAAGGGGTGAGAAAAGCTTCACTTGCTAAATTCCTGTATGGAATTCCCAGTACGTTTCCGAGCACAATTCAAAGTGTTGGTGCTGACCTTTAAAGTCCTAAAAGGCCTTGGTCCAGTATATCTGAAGGAGCGTCTCCACCCCCATCGTTCTGCCCGGACGCTGAGGTCCAGCACCGAGGGCCTTCTGGCGGTTCCCTCACTGCGAGAAGCCAAGTTACAGGGAACCAGGCAGAGGGCCTTCTCGGTAGTGGCGCCCGCCCTGTGGAACGCCCTCCCACCAGATGTCAAAGAGAACAAAAACTACCAGACTTTTAGAAGACATCTGAAGGCAGCCCTGTTTAGGGAAGCTTTTAATGTTTGATGTATCACAGTATTTTAATATTCTTTTGGAAGCCGCCCAGAGTAGCTGGGGAAGCCCAGCCAGATGGGCGGGGTATAAATAATAAATTATTATTATTATTATTATTATTATTATTATTATTATTATTATTATTATTATTATTAATGCTCAGCAAAGGTTTAATACACAGGAACACTTCTCCCTAAAAGTTCATAACCATAGGAAGCCCTTGCCTTTTAGAGGACACACTCCTATCTGAAACCCCAGAGAGCTCCTACTAGTCAGTGTATAAACCTTTTGAGATCAGGACACATCACCACACCCCTTAAATACTGTGTTCTTGGGGAGGCCCTCCTGCAGATACCATTTTATCAGGAGGCGAAGGAATCAACCCACAGCAATTCCTTTCTGTTAAGTGTTAAGACAGGTGCCATCTCTATTGTCTTTTGGGCAGCTTTGGAAGATCTCCCTCTTCCAACATACCTCTAGCCATACTGTTCCAGTATGACTGGCAACTATAAATCCAGGCCCTTCAGACACTGAAAGATTCAGGCATGGTAGTCACACAGCAGCAAATATTCTAAGATTGACAACATCAGAATTTGTAAAGCAGATTTTTGGGGGGAGGGAATCTCCCCCCACAACCATCTTTCCTAAGCAGTAGTAGGCAACAGGAAATATTAGTAGGGGAAAAGCTCTCTCCACTCTTTCAGCTTTTGGTTTTGCTCCGTGAGTTTATTTTAAAGAGACTCCACTGTTAATTAACCAGGATGCTGAGGTGAGCTTACACAGCGTGTCTCCTCAGCACTTTTACCACCTGCTTTATCTGTTAATGCTCTTAAGGACTGTCAGGTCTATGGTTTGGTTGTTATTTATTTCCATCTTATACAAATGTCAGGAATAATGAACTATATATAGGCATGAATCCCCAGGAATACCTGTGCTTCAGCTACTACTTAATTAAGTCTGAGAATCTAATTCTCAATGCCCATTCCATTTAACAATTTCCAAAGGGGTATTCGGGTTAGGCTGCTGTAGCAATACCAACAAATGTTCCTGTGGCACTTTAAAAACTGATTATTATTTATCCAGGGGTCAGACTCTCCGTCCCCTCCATGCAGTGTTATCCTGAATAATAGGTAGATATGGAGGAGAAAACTGATGCATTTGAAGGTGAACCTACATAATTCACAATAATAATAAAAATTGAAATTTGTACTTTTGGAAATCTTTCAATGAAGATCTTCAATCACGTGGAACGTGCTCTATGGGGATGAGGCCCACTGGCAGACCAACTCTGCGCTACAAAGATGCCTGCAAACATGACATGAGCCTGGTAACATCAACCCTGCTGTGTGGGAACCGCTTGCAGACGACCGCCTGGAGACTGACAGTCAGGTCATGTACCCATAGCAGTGACCAGAGGAGGAATGGCCACTGGGAGGAGGGCAGAGAGAAGAAACACCATGATGCATCTGCAGCAGCACAACCAGACACCTACCTCAGCCCCAGCTGCAACAAAACATGTCTCCCCCATATTGGTCTCTACAGCCACAGCAGGTGCTGTAACCTTCCAAAAGTTTGACTTCACCTCCAAAGGTGCACTCCTCCATGGTCTCCCAGGACATATGGATGCCAATCAATGATACTTCCCTCTTGTTTCCCAGTGGCTCCTTTTTGGCAATAGTCCTGTTGCCGCTCAACGCCTGAGTTCTCTATTAGGAGTGATAAGGTCCACCAGAATCCCAAACGCTGCTCACGGAACACTACTTTCATGAACAAATGTGTTTTGGTAACTCACGATATGAGAAGACTCACCAGATGAGACATATGTGGAATACCAACATCGCTGTGAGCGCAACTCTAAAACATGTTGCTTACTCAGATGTAAGTCCCACAATATTATGTGAGGCTGCTCCCTAGTATGAGCACTCATGAATATGCAATAAGTCTCCCTAAATAGGCAGCACGCCCCCCCCACCGATGCTGCTGAGTGTGGCAGTCGGATTCCCCGTTCTCGCGGGATTTCCGGCCGGGGCTCTCGATTAGGGCGCGCGGCTGGCTGGCTGGCGAAGGGAGCAGGTGGGAGGAGGCGGGGGGACGGCGGCGGCGCTCTGCTGGAAGGGCGCCCGCCCAGATTATTGGGGGGCTGAGCCCCCCCAAAAATTTTTTGAGGGGGCTCGAGCCCCCTCAAGGCCCCATGGATGTCGGCGCCTATGTTTAGGATTGTAGTCTGTGTGCATTTTGGATGCTTCGGGGGATTCTTTAAAAAGTCAGTCTGGAGTTTCAGTCAGTTCCCTTGCAGCTGACATGACTAATTAATCCATGTTGGCAGCCTCTGCCCAAGGGCAAAAGGTTAAACATGTCCAGGGAATGAACTGTTTCTGGAGGACCGCTGGGTCAGTTTTGACGCATGCTAGCAGGGTGGACTGAGGAAATAAATAGAACACTTCTATCAACTTCGGCTGATACACCAGCTGCAACCATCCAGCAGGATGGAGAAAGCCTGGCCACAGTTACCCATGCTTTGGTAATCTCCTATTTAGAATACAGCAATGCATTGTGGGTGGTGTTGCCTTCTTTTTTTAAAAAAAAGTCTAGAAACTGCAGGTGGTTCAATGTAGGCTACAGTACTGTTAACTAGGACTTTGTCTTTCACTGCCAATGTTTCTTCAGCTCCATAGGCCCCCAGTCTGTCCACGGGTTCAACTTAAAGTGCTCATCTAAAGGTTACAGAGCCCTTAATTTCTTGGAACCAGGTTATCTAAATGATTACCTTCTCTTATATATGCATGCTCTCCTTAGAGGCTGTGGTCTATGTTCCCCTCCAAGTGAAGTGAGTAGTGACTAAGGAAAAGGACTTCTTGGTGGTAACACCTCGGCTATGGAATAGCTGCCCCTTGGAGACTCATCTGGAACTTTATCCAACGACTTTTCAGCACCAAATGAAGACCTTTTTATTCTCCTGGGTTTATATTTATTTAGTTGATTTGTGTATCGCCTTTTGCACAAACCACAGAGCAGTTTGCAGAAGAATCAAACAAGGCAAAAACAATGCATAAAATCCCACTAAAAACCCACAACCCCTAAATGCAAAACATAGCAACCCACAACGGTTTACTAACATCAGCAGAAACAAACCTTGTACTGCACACTAGAGCTCCTGGCCCTCCTGTCTGATCCTCTTTGGTGATCTTAAGAGCCTTTTAAAACCTCAAATGTCCGCATGTATTCCTAGTCCTCTGGCTACAGCAGATGGTCCTGGCTTGCTTTCTATCTTCCCCATCTCTCTTGGGCTGCCAGCTGGCTAGAATTATATTGGCCCAGACGGAATTTAATCCTCGATGCTTGTTGCTGGAACAGCAGTTTGTAAATCCATGTGTATGTTAGTCGGTGTTCCTTGCTGTTCACTGTACAGTAGTTAAGGTGTACAGAATGTATTGAGTCATGAGCGTTCCTGCCGCAGTAAACAAATTAGGCCACAATCCAGTGCAGATGTAGGTGGATTTTAAGGCCACACTATTCCCTAAATCTTTTTTCTTTCTTTTTCATTTATTGTCGCCACAGGCTTCTTTCTATTGCATGTCTTAACACTGCTATTTTAAATAAACCCATTAGTGAGATCCATTTTCAAAGCAACAGCTGATTTCCTTTATGGGGGAAAACACTGAACATACTCAGAAGCACTGTACCTGTAGGTACTTCCTCTATTCTGTACCAGACAGAATCCTTTCCAGCTCTATATTCTGAACTCAGTACTAATAGAGAATCTGTTCCCATTTTGAAGGAATATTTAGCCATGCAGCCTAATCCTGTGCAAGTTTACTCAGAAGTAATTTCCTCACTGAGTTTAATGGGATCTTAGATTTTCTGGACACAGCCCTGGCCTCTCCAGCCAGATCCTGTCAGGGTGCCATAAGAAGAGCCCTCTTAGATCAGACCAAAGGCAGTGAGCAGTGAGGTGGCAAGTTTGCAGGTGGCATTAAATTATTCAGGGTTTGTAAAACAAAACAAAGAACAGAGTTACAAAGAGCTTTGAAAGGATTTCTCCAAACTAGATATATGGACAATAAAAGGGCAAATGTGGTTCAATGGAACTGAGCGTAAAGAGATGCACATTTCAGCAAAAATCACTAACTGGTAACTGACCAGAGAACTTGGGGTAGTTGTGGCTCTCTCAGTGAAAATATAGTCTGTGACAGCTATGAAACTGGCAAATTACATGGTAGGAATCATCAGGAAAGGGATTGGCAAAATAAAACTGCCAATATTGTAATGCCTTCATACAAATCTGTGGTGTGACAACACTTGAAGAATGGGTACAGTTCCAGTGATCACATCTCAAAAAGGATTATTGTAGAGATGGAAAGAAGCAGCCAGGATGATCAGGGGCTTGGAGCAACTCCCCTATTGGAAAAGATTACATTGCTTGGAGACTTTTAGGTCAGAAAGCAAGGTGGAAGGACACACACGATAGAGGTGTATAAAATTAGAGGTGTATAGAAATGAATTATGCATGATGTGGATAGAGAGAAGTTTTTATTCCTCATAACATCTGAACCCAGCGAAGTTCAAGATTTAGGGAAGTACTTCTTTACACCTCATTATTAAACGATGGAATTTGCTACCACAATATGTGGTGACAGCCATCGATTCAGATGGCTCTAGAAGAAAAGTAGACAAATTCATAGAGAATAAGAAGGCGATCCATGGCCACTATTCATGATGGCAACACGCTGCCTCCAGGATACCAGTTGCTGAGGGATAGCAGTGTGAGAGAGCTATTGCTCTCATGTCCAGCTTGAAGGCTACCCATAGGCATCTGGTTTTCCACTGTGGGAAACAGGGTACGAAAGTAGGCCATTGGGCTGATCTATCAGGGACATCATCATCATCATTGTTATTATTATTATTTAGCTCACCATCCTGTTTCCCAGCCTACATTGGGTGTTCATGGTTCACTATTGTGTAACATTCTATTGTGTAGAATCGCTTGTTCAACCCTTGATCATCAAAAACTTCCTATTCACGTTTTACCTCACCCTCAGCAACATCTCCTTATATTAGAGTTTGCAAAAACAATTAACAATCTTGTTTACATAAAGGTCTGGTGAAATGAATGCTTGGGACACTCTTCCCAAGCCACTGAACAAATGAATTTCACTCCTATGTATATAAAGTTTGTTTGCCAAGTATCACACACATCAAGTATTAGGTATTTTAAATTAAGGGCAGAAATGTGTTTCTATACATGTAAAGCCAAATTGTAAATTCTGGTGTGGTTTATTTTCCTTCAAAATATTACCAATGATTTCAGTATTGGTCATTTCATGGAAATCTGATGGCATACTGTGACTGCACGTTCTGAAGTCTGTTAACACAATTTTAGTTTCCTCTTTGCAGGTTAGAAAAATAATTAAAAATGGAATGTTGTTGTTGGCAAAAGTTTGTTTTGTGAGGCCAGTGTTCTAGTCAAAATGACAGCCAAACAAACACTGACAGCAGAAAGGCATAATTTTTCTGTCACCTGATATATCTGGCATACCTCTCAACAAATTAGGTGGCAATTAACTCATGCTACACTTTTAAGAAATGTTGGCAAAAATATTTCTTCTTTAATTTAAATATGGACAACGTTCTTCATATGTTCTGTTTAAAGCTCTGTTATGGACATGCATTTGTTTTAATAAAATATTTACACAGTCACTTGACTAACATTTTTGCATGAAAATTGAATAAAGGGGCATTTGTTTCAGCATCTCTGCCCAAAATGTGGCCCAATTTGGATTTCCATTACCTGCTAAATGGTCTCGGAAACACTATCCCTCAGTTTTTACAGGCAAAATGGAGCCAGAAGTTGACTATAAAATGAATAATCCAAAGGAAAGTGTAATCCCGAATTCAGCTCAGTTACAAAAGAGAGTGCAAACCTGCACTCAATTCAATAGCCTAAATCTTACTGGATATTTTACTGATTGATTGATTGATTTGATTTGGGATCAGTGGGATTTAAGCTGCCTAACTGTGTGCAGGCCTGTAGCCTAACTGTGTACAGGATTGCAGCCAACTGACAACTTTCCCATGGGGGGAAAAAGATTACATGCTACCTATAGCTGAAAATTGAAGGCCAGTGTTCTGGTACTGCAGCGTCCCACTGAACATCAGTGTCATCTGGATATCCAAAAGTTACATTATCTCCTGCTGGTCTCCCAAGTTTTGAGCAGAGAGGTCAATGATTTTTCATTGCACCTTTTAAAATTTATTTATTTATTTAGCTGGACCAGCTCCAACTTTTTTTTCCCCACCAAAGGAAGCACTTGTAAATGCTGGAGTAAAACCACACCTCTCTTTCCCGCATTGATCTTGATTTAGCACAGAGTGCACCCAACAGAGCCTCACTGACATATATCATGACCTGCCAAGTACCGTACTTGATGACCCCTCCTCCCGTTTTTTGTATTGCACACCAGGGAGAAAAAAATAAATGGGAAGTTGACTGAATGCCGGATACTTGTATGTAGTTGGTGAAAGGTATTCGGTTTAGTGATTCACAACTTGTGCAGCACTGGTATGGCATTATATCTGCCCTAACCACTTAACCAGGGTTTGTAAACCAGCTTCCAATTAATGAATAAGATGCAGGACATGGTTAGCATTGGTGTAGATGTAACACTAATCCATGATTAAAGTGACAAGGGAAGAAAGGTGGTTGAATTTGCTCTGGAGAGGTGAGGAGGGAATGCATTGTGTCTGCACTAGGCCATGGATTATATGATATTTATGTTTCATGACTGGCTGAGCCACAGAAATTTAGTTCTTACCTGACAAGTCCATATGGATGTGATCAGAAATCCATCATCTCTGAATACGTTGAAGATTTCAATGATCCCGCGGGAATAACCAAAGACAGACACACTGGCATCAGATACAGCTAGGTTAAATGTCAAGTAGTCCGTGGGCTGAAGGGTAGCCCGCTGTCTATAGAGTACAAAAATTACAATGCTGTTCCCAAACCAAGACATCCAACCTGGAAAATAAAAGGAAATGCTCAGAATGAAAAGCTGCAAAAAGCAGCCCTTGTCAAGTAGGAAACACTTCACAGCACGAACACACAACATTATAATTATCGCGGCTTCTACACTGGAACCTTGTAGTGCTGCAATCAGCTGAACGTAAGTGAGGAATGGGACTGTGTGTTCTTCTTATTTGCTTTTTAATGAACATGCAAGAATATGTTGTGGTACCTTAAAAAGTAACAAACTGTATAATAGCATACGTGTTGGTGAGGAGGGTGAGGTCAGAAGGAAATTAAATGCATGCCGTACTGATGGCCAATTGCATTGTTAAAGCCAGCTGTTCAAGAGCAGTTGACAATGAGCTATGGATAAGTTTGTGAAGGATCCATAGTCAATCCTTACTAATAGCCCACTGAACATCATAGGACTTAGTTCTCAGTAGATAATGGTTAGGATTGTGTCATGCTTAATGAGATCACCAGGGACATGCCCTCAGGCCTCAGATTTGGCCCTGAAATCAAGGTCTGGGAATGCCCCTGACCAGGAAACCCTATAGAGGAGATAGGAGCATACCATTAAAATAAATGCATGTAACTTCTTCCCAGACATAGGAAAATAATACTGGTAGACTGATGGGTAAGATGGTCATACTAGCAAAAGTAGTTTCTTCAAGAAGCATTGCTTGAAGGGCCAAAGAGACTTGGCAAAGGCAGGATTTAGAAAGTTTCACCACAGGGTTAAGTGACCTTTGTCCATCTGAGTGCCAGATTCCATCATGCAGAAGCCTTTGGAGGCCACGTTGGTGGGAGAGATCAGAGGAGGGAGAGCTCATAGTGGGGCAGATCAGAAGCAAAAGTGCATGAAGTCATGGAAAGGGCTCTTACCTTTGTACAGTGGGCTACATTCAAAGATACAGGTTTCCATGTGCATCTTTTTCCAGCAAGGCAAGCAAGAGGCCTCATTGCAGATCAAAGACCCATTCCAGCCAGGGAGAAGCACTCAAGAGGGCACAGAGCTGGGCCAGTGAGGACTGTGGCATGGACAAGGAAGGGCTGGATGAGGAGGCCTGAAGGGCTGCATCCTGCACCCAGGCTGGAGGTTCCCCACCCTTACTCTGCAACATCAATCTGCGGATGGGGACCATCTGTTTATCAAGAGGCTTTCAACCCACTGGACATGTAACCATTTTCCTTTCCTTTTTTGAATTGGGCATCCTTGAGTATATCTGAAGATAATTTTAAGAACACAAGGAAAGCCTGGTATGATCAGACCAAAGGTCCATTTAGTCCAGCATCCTGCTCTTACTGTGGCCAACAAGATGCTTTTGAGAAGCCCACAAGCAAGACCGGAGCACAAGAGCACTCTCCCCACTTGGGGTTCCCAGAAAGCCCCATTCAGAGTCGTAGTGCCTCCAACGCTGCAGGGAGAAGATAGTCACTGTGGCTCATAGTCTCTGATAGCTTTATCCTCCACGAATTTGTCTAGCCCTCTGTCATGTGTCTGGTTTTCTCTTCTTTCTCCACAATTCTCCTTTGTTTTTTGTTTAAAGAGGAAGTGACACATATACAAACAATCAGCAAATACAGACTTTCAGGTTTAATTTTGTGTTCATTTTTTATAACTTTCTAGTTCATTATGTTTTCCACACGCCCATCCAGACTGAAGAAGATGAAGATTGTGGTTGTGCAACGTTAAGACAAGCAAACTGCTCAAACTCCAGTTAAGACAAATCAAGGAACATCGTTACTTCAGTAAGTACTAGTTATGTGCTAGAACAACAATTAAGCACATTTAAACAAACATAGTGCACTAATGACACTTAAAGCCCTAATTACTTAGCAGCTGATGATTACAAGGACAAAAAAAAGGTTTTAAACTAAGAGGTGGTTGTCAGTGGCAATTAAACACCTTAGGGAGCACCTTGCGGCGTCCTCTACTGAACATTTGCCACAGTGATGCCCCTTGAGAATATTCTTTAATTATTCTCAATTTAACAGGATTTAACTCTACTCAGTCTTCAGATCATCAACAAGATCCAAATGGGTTTACACAAATGTATTTGTCAAAAGCTAAAAGTACTCTGTTCTGGAATGCTGACAGCAAGCTGGTTCTCTGATCAAAAAATGTTTTCAAAAAGTACACAATTGCGGGAAATGATGCATATAAAATTGCCAGTATTTAGTGAACAACAGTTGACAAAATCAAACCTTATACATATTTGCACTAAGAAATGGATTCTTGACAAAAATTGCAATACATAAAAGGTGAATATTGTGGAGAACTATTGCTGAAAGACTGGACTTGCCTAGATGATCAGTAATGTTCAGTCATGAGGGACTTTTAAAATTTAATTTCACAACTGATGCAGAGATAGGGAGAACCGAAGCAGTTAGAAAAAACTGTGCAAATCTGAGAGAAACTGAGTTGGACAAATTCATCATATTCGGTACCATAGTAAGGGCCAACATCTTGGATGGTTACTAACACACTACATTGTGTTGGAGGTGCTCCTTCTGCTAAACACAGGTGAGAGGTGAGGTTAGGAGACAGCATTCCAAACTGTTTGCCCCAACACTTTAGTGTGTCAGTTGCAGTGTGTATGTCTGTCACGCGAACGCTCCCCGTGCTCCTCCCAGGGCTGGAAAGCGGTTGGTTTAACCTCCAGTTTGCTAGTAAAACTGAATTACGGTACTGTGTCGTGAAATGATGTATGTCTAAAAAGTGTCACCAACACGAAATGTTTGGAAAGCTCTGGGTTAGGGCAATGGGTATTCACATTCTCTGTGTGAATTAATTTTAACAAAGCACTCCTATATCAGAAAAGAAACACTTCAGTTTTGAATTATTGTATTCATGTGTAAAACAAAGTTCTAATCAGCTAAAGTAAAAAAGAAAAAGTAGAAAATAAAAGAACAATTCAACCAGCTGTCCCCCCATGTTAAAATTGTAGGAGAAACTGCATCAATAATTTTGACCATTGCCTTAGAAAACACATATTTAGTTCACTAATACCGATGTAGAATGTTATCTAGCAACTTCGGAATATCGAATGCATTAAAAATTAAGAATTAAGAAGATTCTGCTCTTACTCTTGATAGTGTCTTGCTTATTTAAAATGTTTAAAATCTTGACACTAGGACTCTCTAAAATATTGGGTCTATAAGAACAGTGATATTCCTATGATAGGCCTCAGCTATTCACCAGCTTGTTATATTACAGGGTCAGTATCTTAAGGGGGGGGGGGGAATGCAGCACTGCTGTTTTATTATTAAGTAAGCATAGCAGTGCCAGTATGTTCAAACTTCTGTACTCAAATGTCTAGAGTTTAATAATGCTTGTAACAGCAAATGTTACACAGTGTAGATTACTTTTTTGAATGCAGAAACAGCTTAAAGTCTTGCAAATTTAATAGGGCAAATGGCATAATTTATTAGTCTTTTATTGTTCCACAATATTTTTATATTTGCTGCAACAGACTAACACAGTAATCACCCTGGAAATTATCAGCTACATACATCACACACAAACTTTAATAAACTGAATTATTTTTAGCATGCAAAGCAAATACATCTTTTAGTTAGCAAGAGGTAGAGTATTGGAACAGTAAATAAGTGACAGCATTATTTCGCTAGGATAATATGAGGTCATCTATTTCCGCACATGATTCTTCTCCCATCCATTTTATTTCTTTGCCAAAGAATCTTCAACTGCACTTTAGTAGAGGAGCAGCTTGGATTATATGTAGGCTGGTTAACCCCAAGTATTTGGACTCAAGCCATTTTAATCCCTTTGAAATGAATGGGAGCTAATCCAGTTAAAGTCCAGTATTTCATCTTACCTGGACTGGACTTAACAATATTGTCTTCCCCTCCCCGCTTCCAAATGTTTCAATGTTTTCTTTAGTTAAAATGCACCACTGTTCTGTTTCAAACTGATTAGGCTCAACAGAAGTCCCTGTGAATTTTGCAGGCATGCTTAATCCATAAATCCATATACATACCCAGAGCCAGTAGATAGAAGCCAATGATCTTCTCTCCTTGTTCTGAGACAGGAGCATCTTTGTTCAAAAAGGAGATATTGTTGTTTCTCCATGGTGCCTGAGGGGAACTCTGAAAAGACATTTTCTGTAGTTTCTGACCCAGAACTTGCCCTTTCCCCAGGTCCTGCTGCAAAGAGAAAGAAACCGACCTGTGCCGTCCTGAAACCTCTGATCGCTCTCTTTCTATGGAGCCCCGAGACTGATAAGGCAGAGGGGAATCTAAGGCGACAAGTAGCAGCTTTGCAGCCTGCTGGCCTGCTAGCATTTGCTAATCCTATCTATTAATACTGGTGATCACCAATCTGTGACTAGACAAAGACCCAGGCGCTTTGTCATTTACCTGGGGCTAAAGTATGCAGATAAAAGGGACGCGGGTGGCGCTGTGGGTAAAACCTCAGCGCCTAGGACTTGCCGATCGCATGGTCGGCGGTTCGAATCCCCGCGGCGGGGTGCGCTCCCGTCGTTCGGTCCCAGCGCCTGCCAACCTAGCAGTTCGAAAGCACCCCCGGGTGCAAGTAGATAAATAGGGACCGCTTTCTAGCGGGAAGGTAAACGGCGTTCCGTGTGCTGCGCTGGCTCGCCAGATGCAGCTTGTCACGCTGGCCACGTGACCCGGAAGTGTCTGCGGACAGCGCTGGCTCCCAGCCTATAGAGTGAGATGAGCACACAACCCTAGAGTCTGTCAAGACTGGCCCCTACGGGCAGGGGTACCTTTACCTTTACCTTAAAGTATGCAGATGGTCACTTCAGCATGTAAAACTGTGGCATCAAAAAATGGAGGTCAGCTTGAGAAAAAATATGTAGTAGGTAAAAATCAGGCTTACAATATGAAAACACAAGGTGCCCACATTCATTATGTGCAGAGACACATAGCCATAAAGTGTTCTGAAGGAATTTCATCATCATAACAACAGCAACAATAATACCCCAGCCATCTGGGTAGCTTCCAGCATGTATAAAAATGTAATATAACATCAAACATTAAAACCTTTCCAATACAGGACTGCCTTCAGATGTCTTCTAAAGGTTGTACAGTCATACCTTGGAAGTCAAACGGAATCCGTTCCAGAAGCCCGTTCGACTTCCAAAACGTTCAGAAACCAAAGCACAGCTTCTGATTGGCTGTAGGAAGCTCCTGCATCTCCTTGACATCTGATGGGAGGGCATTCCACAAGGAGGGTGCCACTGCTGAGAAGGCTCTCTGCCTGGTTCCCTATAACTTCACTTCTCTCAGTGAGGGAACTGCCAGAACGCCCTGGGAGCTGGACCTCAGTGTCCAGGCTGAACGATGGAGGTGCAGACGCTCCTTCAGGTATACAGTGCTTTTACTACTAATATAACATAATAATATTTTACCTAAGACTTCCACAAATGAGTTGCATATAACAACAGATTTGTGTTCATGAAAGGAAAATTTATCTTAGATAAACCATGAAATTATTCCTTGTTTCTGTACATTTTAGAGGGTGGGGATTAACAAGCGCATTGCACAACCTTTTCACCCAACCATTTGAGGGGTGGGGTAACCAAATATGCCTTCAAAAAGGGTGGGGTGCAAATTATGTTTGGATAATTATTTCATGGGGGGGGGCACATTGTCACATGGGCATCCCTGGGGGTGCTGCTGAGCTAGAAGCCTGCCTGGAGAGCTAGGTGCTGCTGTGAGCATGCGTAACATTTTTACTTGCACAGTGTTTAAATAAAAATAAAGACTCCCGCAGCCACTTTGCACACTCAAATAAGGCAAACACAGCCCTCCCCATTCTTCAAAAAAAAGTTCTTGCCAATTTGCACTGCCCATACAAAAGGAGCAGAAAACAACACCCCCATCCTAAAGTTGCAGGGGAAGCAGAGGAATGCATGACCCTGCAGATTTGGGTAGCAAGTATTTGTCCAGCACTAAAAAGAATGTTGAGAAAGTTATAAGGGCACAAGGAGAAGGGGACGACATAGGACAAGATTGTTGGACAGTGTTCTTGAAGCTACCAACATGAGTTTGACCAAACTGCGGGAGGCAGTGGAAGACAGGAGTGCCTGGCGTGCTCTGGTCCATGGGGTCACGAAGAGTTGGACACGGCTAAACAACAACAACAAAAAGAATACCTTTCTGATCCTGTCACCTGCACACACAGTATATGGCAATAAACATGGCTGCCCCCATAGATCTGTGGGGGTGCCATTCTTTTTGCTATAAAATATCCATGGGAAGCTCTCAGGGCCAGGTCTATGAGGGCAACCATCTGCCCCACCTCCTAGCTTCTGTGCGAGGGAAGGGACATCATCATACCTTCCTCAGCTATCCCTAGCTGCAGCTGCTTCTTTGGGCAACTTTGGGGGCTATAATTCCCAGTCTGGGTTGTGGCCATTTTCTTTCTCCTCAAAGTTGAGGCAGTGCTGTACAGAATGAAGTAGTTCTAGTTACAGGTAGGTAGCCGTGTTGGTCTGCCGTAGTTGAAACAAAATATATATATATTTTTAATTCCTTCCAGTAGCACCTTAGAGACCAACTAAGTTTGTTATTGGTATGAGCTTTGCATGCACACGAAAGCTCATACCAATAACAAACTTAGTTGGTCTCTAAGGTGCTACTGGAAGGAATTTTTTAATTTTTTTTTCAAGAATAAAGTAGGTTTAAGATTCTATCCTGTCTGTGGGGGGAGTAATTTGCTTAATTGTCTGTCTCTGATACTGCACAGTTGCAAATTTGACTTTCTTTACAATATTTTGTCTTTTTTTAGTTTTTAATTGTGCAGGATGAGCCTCAAGGTTAAGCTGCCATTGTGGATATGTCACATTATACAGTGGTACCTTGGGTTACATACGCTTCAGGTTACAGACTCTGCTAACCCAGAAATAGTACCTCGGGTTAAGAACTTTGCTTCAGGATGAGAACAGAAATTGTGCTCTGGCGGCGGCAGCAGGAGGCCCCATTAGCTAAAGTGGTGCTTCAGGTTAAGAACCGTTTCAGGTTAAGAACAGACCTCCGGAACGAATTAAGTTCTTAACCCAAGGTACCACTGTACCACCAAAATTAGACATTTTGGTGTTTTGTAAAAGAGATTGAAATACTAAGCACCCTCAAGTTACATAACAACATAGTTCTCTTGTTGAACAAGCTACATGAATAGCCCTTAATATTTGTATTTTGGAAAAATGACCTCCAACTTTTGGGCATCCACCTCCCCCCCCCCCTTCCAACACGATGGGAAAGGAATCAGCAGTGCAGTTTCTGGGAAAGCAAACTGAGGTTTGGCTTAGCATTGGGTCGCCCCTGGTTCTTTTGTGTGCTCGCCAAAAGAATTGTTTATGGAACGCAGGCATTTAGGCCATGTGGTAAAGAATATGAATTTCATCACAAGGCATTATTTCATCACAGCTCAATAGATGCATCGTTATGTCACAGACAGGATATAAGTATTTTGTGTAGAAACTCCATTTTTGGCACATCATACTGGCTGGCAATTTGAAGCAACCAGCTTTCTGCCAATATAAAGCAAATATAACATTTAATAACCAAACCAATAGTGCAGCCTTTGTATGCGAGAGCTTTTACTCCGAAAGGTACACGACTAATACTGAAGTACTCAGAAGCCATTAACCTTTTAGTAATTAGAAAGACACTAATAATCTTGTTCAGCAAGCTAAATTATTCACTGGAAAATCCCCCCCTCATACTGGGATATGTTGCTATGAGCCATGATGTCCCTTTAGGTTTTGGTATAGACAGGTTATTGAAGGCAGGGAGCAGTGATGCCCATATACCTGCAGGCAGAAACATTTGATTCCAAGCATCTGAAATGTTCTTTGAGTCACACATGAACACAGTTTTGACTAGTTTGGCAGCACTACCAACAAGTTAAGGGGGGGACGTGGCATCATGGCAGCCTTCTGCACCTCCTTTTTCAAAGCCAACTGCCATTGTAACAATCATGGCCAGTGAGTATTTTGATCACCTTTCCCGTTCACTGTTGAGGTTTTGACCAGGGCTGCATTTGCTGCCTGTCCTCATCCTCATCATTCATGGGCAACCTAGGGTTTATTTCTAGCCTTCCTTACCAGCACAAATCCTCTTCTGTGGGAAGGACAGAAAGAGAAAAACAACAACAAACGAATATAAGCTTAACTTGTTTTAACAATGTCAACATAGCAATAGGACATGGGGAATATTTTCAGACTTAGAAACAACAACGAATGTTTACTCACATTTTTGATAAACTGCATGAGTAGACTTCTTGTGCTAACATCAGAAATGGTTCGTGAACTTCTGAATTGAACAGAATAACAGAAAATCACTTTTCATTTGGAAAACCATGTGCACCTTAAAGCAGAGTTGCACACTTGGAGAAGGGACTAGATTACCCTCGAGGCCCCTTCCAACTCTACAGTTCTAGCCCCTTCAATTTATCCTTTAGATCAGAGTGCCCTCTAGAGTCTTGTAGCATTTTATGCAGTCCTCTGATTGTCAGTTCCCTTTCCCAAATCCTGCTTGGTTCCTAAACAGTGGCGTAGCATGGGTTGTCAGCACCCGGGGCAAGGCAAGTAATTTGCGCCCCCTAACCCGTGGATTTGCGCCCCCTAACCTGTGGATTTGCGCCCCCTAACCCTAACCCCCAGATGTTGCGCCCGGTGCGGCCGGCCCCCCCTGCACCCCCCACGCTACGCCACTGTTCCTAAATTAGACTCTCTCTCTCTCTCTGGGTGCAACGAAGAGCTTCAACCAGACTTGTACACTTTCTTTATTGTGCTCACAATAAGAAGTCTTCCCCCAAAGACAAAAAGGTTTTGAATAAACACCGCCAAAGAGTAACAAACAGCATATAAGCCAAATGTCAATCCCTTCCAATAAAAATGGCCACAGTTTAAAAGTGCTGGAAATTGACACATTAAGCCTTTTTTACTGTTAAACAAGCATGTGATTATTTTTTTCTGTGAAAACTATTATTCATTTAGAAAATTAATAAACTGCTTGATCCAAAAACAAACAAAGAAACAATTTCCAAGGCCCAGATCCAACTACATAAAAACAAGACTCAAATATACAGGGGTACAGAGTTACAGAAGAACAAGCACCATGTATCTTAACAGGCATGTGGTTAAAGGGGTGGGAGCTGCATAGGTAAAGGTAAAGGGACCCCTGACCATTAGGTCCAGTCGTGACCGACTCTGGGTTTGCGGCGCTCATCTCGCTTTATTGGCAGAGGGAGCCGGCGTACAGTTTCCAGGTCATGTGGCCAGCATGACTAAGGCACTTCTGGCGAACCAGAGCAGCTCACAGAAACCCTGTTTACCTTCCCGCCGGAGCAGTACCTATTTATCCACTTGTACTTTGACGTGCTTTTGAACTGCTAGGTTGGCAGGAGCAGGGACCGAGCAACTGGAGCTCACCCTGTTGCGGGGATTTGAACCGCCGACCTTCTGATTGGCAAGCCCTAGGCTCTGTGGTTTAACCCACAGCGCCACCCGTGTCCCTGGGAGCTGCATATCACACTTTAAAACTCCTGTGTGGATCCACCCTCACTGACCAGCTCCAATACTTCTGGATTGGAGAACTACTTTGGGCCAAGTGGTTTGAATGAGGCTGGGTGGGGCATCTCTCATGGATGCTTTTGTGATTCCTGCATTGCATGGGGTTGGAATAGATGACCCTTTAAGTCCCTTCCAACTCTACAATTCTGATTCTATTATGAGAAAACCGGCATTAGAAAAGCTGCCCTCTTAGCCTGCATTTTGATCTGCCCAGCCTTACAACAAAGAAAGCAAACATCCAGTGAGTGGGCTTCTGGTCAAAGCTTCTTTAGCAGCAGGAGAGGTACAGTGGTGCTGGTGATGATGATGATGATGGAGGGCGAGATCAAAGCTTGACTTGGCTGCAGAGATTTAAAAGCAAGCTCCACAGGCGACTGCCTCTACCTTGGAAGACAGCCCTGCACCTTCCTAACTCAGGAAGCCTCATGGAGCAGCTCCACCCTGCACCCTCTTCCCTGTAGCTCCACCCTGCACCCATGGGGTAAAACAGCCTTGCCTGGTGGCGTTACGAAACAACCCCTCTGCAGTGCCACAAATCCAACTCAATGGTGTAACATTGGAAAGGGTCAATCACTACCTGGGCAGTTATCTTTCCACAAGGGCCAACATTGATGCCGAAATGCAGCATCGCCTGAGCTGTGCGAGTGCAGCTTTCTCTTGAGGACAGGGACATTCGCAGGGAAACCAAAATGATTGCTTACAAAGCTATTATACTACCAACCTTACTGTATGATTGTGAAACATGGACCACTTATAAAAGCCATCTCCTTGAAAGATTCCATCAACAGTGTCTCCGAAAATTTTTACACATCACTTGGGAAGAAAGGTGAACTAATGTCAGTGTACTGGAAGAAGCAAAGATCACCAGTGATTGTTCAACATCAACTTCGTTGGATTGGCCATGTTGTTCGGATGCCTGATTATCATCTTACAAAGCAACTACTCATCATGGCAAGAAAAATTGATGGACTATGCAGAACTGGCAAAACTGACATATAAGCTACGGGACAAGGATAACTGTGACTTTAAAGATGAATGGGAACCCTTTACAAAGTATTTGAAGATGCAACAAAGAGAACTGGACTCCTTGGCAGGCTTTGAATAAACATTCACAAACTTTTTTATTGATGATAATCAGCTAAATAGTTTGAGGATCTATATAACTGTGTAACATGCAGAAAACAGCATTCTTAAAGAAATCAAAGACTGGAACTGGGGGGTGGGGGTGGGTGGGTTTTTGGATAATATGTTTTGTTTTAATTTTGAATTAAAAAAAAGTTTTAAAAAAAACAAAGCAACTACTCTATTCCAAACATAAAAATGGAAAGCATAATGCTGGTGGTTAACAAAAGAGGTTCAAAGACTATCTCAAGGCGAATCTTAAAAAATGTAGTATAAACACCGACAACTGGGAAACACTGGCCTGCAAGTGCTCCAGTTGGAGACCAGCCTTTACCAAAGGTGTCATGGGCTTTGAAGACACTCAAACTCAGGATGAAAGGGAGAAACGCGCTAAGAGGAAGGCGCCCTCGGCAAACCCTCACCATGATTAACTCCCGCCCAGAAACCTATGTCCCCACTGTGGAAGGACGTGTGGATCCAGAATTGGCCTCCACGGTCACTTACGGACTCACTATTAAAACCGTGTTTACGGAAGACAATCTTACTCGGCTACGAGTGATCGCCAAAGAAGATGATGAAGACCCTGCGGGGGGGGGGCTCCCTTACAAGAACCCCTCAGGCGTGCTTCTCTCAGCCCCGCCAACATCAGCCCTGGAGCAGCCCCGAGCGGAGGCAGCACTCCTTGTCCGAGGGGAGCCCCCGCCGAAACGAGCAGCAACCGGCCCAGCACCGGCCCTTCCTCGCGTCTCCCTCCTTCCCACCCAGCCTGGGAAGGGCAGTGGGCGGGGACCGCCGGCTGACAGGCAGGCCGCGCCTCTCGAAGGCGCCGAGCTCGGGGCTCCCGGCAGCCCCCCAGACGGAGGGCGGGCGGCTGGCTTTGCGCTTGCTCAGCCGCCGCCCAAGTCCGGGGGGAAGCCGGCAGGTCTCTCTCTGCAAAGCGAGGGAGGGAAGGAGGCAGCGCCGGCTCCTCCATCTTCTTGTGGCGCAGGGAAGGGGCAGGCCCGGGCGGGAGGAAGGATGCCCGCCAATTGAGCGCCTCGCCTCCCGTCCCAGAAGGAGGCCGGTCGGCCCAGATGCAAAGCAACCAGGGCGACGGCAGCGCCTCAGCGGAGGGGCAGCCCCAGCCTGCGCCTCCCGCCGCCTCGCCGACCCAGTCTCCAATGGCGCTGGCTGGGCCCGAAGAGGGCAGCGGCCGCGGCGGAGCCCCGGGCCCCGAAGGCGCCCTCAGCCTTAACCCTGGGCAGCAGCTGCAGGAGGAGATGGAGAAGCTGCAGGAGGAGAACGAGGCCCTCAAGGTGAGCAGGAGGAGAGGAGGGCGGCGGGTGTGGCCCAGCCGGGAGGGGGAGGGGAGCCCTTTCTTCTGCTCTTTCTTCTGTTGTCAACCCGGCTTGTAGGAGGCGAAGTGATAGAGAACAGATAACCCCCCCCCCCCATCTTAGCAGCAGGTGCAAGAAAAGGAGAAAGAAAGCAGGGGTCCGTCCTTTTTTTGGGGGGGGGTTGTACAAACGATAGTCGTTTTTGTCCTCCCCCGAAAAGGAAAACCATTATATTCCATTCTAGTTCTTAATGGTGCAGCTTCCTGTTGTTCTCCTCCCTTGGTAAAATGTGGGAAACTTCTGCCTCAGAAAAGTTGAGCTCCCTTGGAGGAAACTAGCCTTGGCCATTTCAGACCTGATGGTAGTCCACAGATGGCGAAAAGCACTATATAGTGTGTGCCTTGCCTCATAATCACTCCCTGTGGCATGCTTCTCACATGTCACATACGTGTTTTCCCTTCAGACGCTCTCAAACATGCATGGCTGACATGCTGTGCAATGGTAAGGCCCTGGCTTTTCATCCAGCAGAGGAAGCCATCCATCCTGTTTGCTGCATGCACTTGTGCCTTCATGACATACTTTATTCTGAATGTTAAGGGAGAATGCTTAACATAACAGCATAACAATTACTCTTTTCAGATCACATTCCCTCTACAGTTTGTCTCATCCGTGAGGGAAGGGTCTTGCATTCCAGGCATGTCTTTAAGAGTACATCTACACTTTTACAGTTAGTGGTAAAATGTTCAGCGGAGTAGCAAGCCATCATTCCGCTGTCTAGCTATGGCTATGGTGTGTTGAGAAAGTGAAGACTCAGCACACAAAATTGTGTTCCCATGTAGAACGGGTAAGCTGTATCACAGGGGTGGGGAACCTTTTCCAGTCTAAGCGTTGGATCAACTTCCAGGAGTTGCATGACACCAGAGGGTATGGTCAGGGGCAAAAGTGGGTGGGACAATGGATATGACTCTTGCCTTTTTACAGGAGTTTACAGCCAGTCACTTGTCAGAAGTTGCTCTACACCAGTGTTTCCCAAACTTGTGTGTCTGGCTGTTCCCATGATCCCTGGCCTCTGGTCCTGCTAACTAGGGATGATGGGAGTTGTAGTCCAAAAACAGCTCAGGACCCAAGTTTGGGAAACACAGCTTTACACACACACACACACACACACACACACACACACACCTTTCTCTATCCAGGCAAGCAAAAGACCATAGACACATCCCATCCCAGCAAGGGAAAGCCACTTGAGGGGGTGGAGCATGGTCAGCGAGGGCACTGCCTAGTGAAAGGGGGTGTGGCCTTAGAAGGGCACATGGCTTAGGGAAAGTTCTGAGGGCCAGCTATAAAGAGGCCTGGAGGGCCATATTTGACCCTCTGTTCCCCACTCCTGCTGGTGGAAAAACCAAGTTCTTCCCACACTGCATAACTCTCATCCACCCATGATTTTATCATTGATTACCTCTTCATATACATGTCACACATGTGATGTTTGAAGGGCAGGCATAAGATAGTGATTGATGCTTCTGGTTGTTGTTGTTTTAAGTGAAGATCAACTTAAGTCCCATTTTTCCTTTCGTTTATTAATGTGAACTTGCATTGCCTGGTGCATTTCCGACTATCCTTTCTGAACGGGTGCCAGAATGAGATAGATGAGTTGAGGACTGAGATGGATGAGATGAGGGACAGCTTCTTTGAAGAGGATGCCTGCCAGCTGCAAGAAATGCGCCACGAATTGGAGAGGGCCAACAAAAACTGCAGGATCCTTCAGTACCGTCTTCGAAAGGCAGAGCGCAAGAGGCTCCGCTATGCACAGACCGGGGAGATTGATGGAGAACTTTTGCGAAGCTTGGAGCAAGACCTGAAGGTAAACAGGACCAAAAGCTGGCAAGTAGGTGGGAAGGCAGTGAGGGGGAAGTACAGGTAGACCATGAAAGTATCGTAGGCTCAAGTCGTTCAACGGAAAGCAGAGATCTGATTTGTCTCATGGTTCTGAGAGCCAGTAATTTGATGACCTGGATCCTGACTCTCAGAACTCACTTTCTAGATAGCTCACTTTCAGATACAGTGGTACCTCCAGTTGCGAACGGGATCCGTTCTGGAGGTCCGGTCGGATCCTGAGGTTTCTGCAACCTGAAGACTGCTTCTGTGCATGCGCACAGTGAAACCTGGTCAAATACTTCCGGGTTTGCCGCTTTCGCATCCTGAAGTTTACGTAACCAGAGGGTTACGTAATAGGAGGTACTACTGTATTTACCCCTTTTCCAGTTATCAGAGAGTAAATTCCCAGGTGTGTTACACTCTGTTGCTTTGACAGTTGTTCCATTGAGTTCTGTGGAAAGCGGGATGAGGCTGTGCTGCTCACTTGACCTCTCTTCAGCCGAGCCACTACTTCATATTGGGATGGAAAGAAGGGAGGACAAAGACAGCGCAGTAGAAAGGGCCAACTGGAGTGACAGGTTGGCTCCACTGGCATGTTTGCACCTCACTGCCTGACGCCTCAGTGACTCGGCTGGAAGGGAGGTCAGGTGAGTGCTGCAGCCACCAACCCACCATGTTGTTCACTGCTGCTTTTAACTAATTCATTGATCCGTTAATAAGCTGAAATACATTTCTGTAATGCCAGAGCCTCTTAGCTTGAAATGAATCTGCCCATTGACACATCTTGAAAATATAACTTAGAATTTAATAGAGGGTTGAATCCAATTAAATTATACTTGCAGTAGAAAACAATGAACTTTTAAGTTGTATCGATTGTTTTCACTGAGTATGCTTTGAGTGTGATATAAGTTGGATACAATCTGTAATTCATCACTCATTATTAGAAAGAAAAGCCATTTTAAGGGTTTCCTTTGCATTCCATTTTGCATACCAGGAGCAAAATAGCTCAAAAATAAATGTTTGCCCTTCTAGAGCAACAAGTGAAAATCTGTACTCACCAAATAAATTGCTACCCATGATTTACCTACTAAAGTGTTACTTGATTAATTAACTAATTATAAGGTGTACAGTTCCAGTTGTAAATAGGTTTCACTGAAAAAGCAAGTGAGACTCCCATGTTAAAGTCCAGCTTTGGGTAGCATTGTGTCCAGTGTTCTAATAGATAGAGAGTTGGTCTTTGACCTAGAAATTCCATATACAAGTACTACCTAAGTCCTGTAATCATGGGATACTACCAGTGCTCAGAGTCACACTGTCTGGAAATAATCAGGAATAAGCTAGAGTGTATGTGAACTGAGCTTTAATAATAATAATAATAACAATAATAATAATAATAATAAATTAATTAAATTTCTGTGAAACCCTTCACCCAAGGATTACAGGATGGCTTACAATATATATATAAAAAGAATGCATACCATAGTAACAAACAAAAACAATACCCCCCACAGTTTAAAAGGCCATATAAAGTATTTAATTAGCCAAAGGCCTGGGAGAAGAGTTTTGGCCTGGTGCCTAAATATTTGTAATGAAGACGCTTATGTTTTTAAAATCAGTGGAGACTTCTAATGGAATTGGATTGGAGACAAAACTAATCAGAATGCCATTCTGGCTCTAGAATACACTAATCAGCTCTGTTTTTGTTGGCTGAAAACAGGATTATAAACATCACATGATCATAGGGTTGTATCAAACTTAAGAGTAGACCCATTGCATCAATTGACCTAAGTGAGTTATGCCTATTAATTTTCATGTGTCTATGCTGAGTATGACTAACATTGTATACAACCAGCGCTTTTTTCTGGGGGGATGCAGGGGTATGCATACCCCTAAATATTTTGTGAATCTTTGTACTTTTGTCCATTTACTGTATTTATTTCCCCCGATTTGAACTATAAAATCATGATTTTCTTGAGTCAAAATGAGAGTACCCCTAAACATTTTTTTTAGAAAAACAGCACTGTATACAACCCATAATTATCTTCGCCACAAAAATGTTGTCTTTAAATTTTAAAATTCTGTTCCATTAGGTTGCAAAAGACGTTTCAGTGAGACTTCACCATGAGTTGGAAAACGTGGAAGAAAAACGTACCACCACAGAAGATGAAAACGAAAAGTTAAGACAGCAGCTGATAGAAGTAGAGATTGCTAAACAGGCTCTGCAGAACGAACTTGACAGGATGAAAGAGGTTAATGTTCAGTATTTACTTTTGGGGAAATGAGTTTTTATTCTACCCTGAATTTTATAATGGTTGGAATAGTAGTGCATGCACTTAATGGAGGAGGACGTCAGAGATTCTCAGAATGCTTGACTAAGTAAGGATCCTAAAACGCAATGAATAATTTGCTTCGTAGAAATGAGAACATAAATGAGGGAAACAGTAAACAGTTCCTAGAATTAAAAATGGCTGCCCCTTTCGTACCTTTGCTCTTAGTCAGTTTTTGCCTTCTACTGTGAATTGTTGGTTTTCATGGATGAGTAGAAAGGTTTGAGATTTGTATTTGTTTGCTGAAAAGCATTCCCTGTACCTGTCTTCGAAATGAGATACATTTATTCTTGAATGCTATTGAGAGTGCTCTTGTGCTCCTGTTTTGTTGATGAAATTCTCATAGGTATCTGACAGGCTGGACTGGATAGACACTTGATCTGATCCAATAGGACTCTTCTTACCTTAAAATAAGGCATGTCTGTGCTACTGGATTTTTAGAAAAAGTGAAGCCAAACAAAGCTGCTAGTTCAACCGCTTACACTCCCATTGAGTTTAGAGAACATAAAACTATGGGCCATAATCCAGTGGTCTTTGTAGGTGTATCCAACAACCTGCATGAGTCCTATGAGATTTGTGATAGTGAACTGCAACACCCAGTTCAAATATTACTAGCCCAAATTTCTTTCTTACTGCCGTGCTTCCTAATAACCTGTGTTATTAATTAGCGATAGATAAATCCACATAGCCTTTCAGGTTTACTGAACTATTTACTGGTTTGTATTTGGATAATGAAACTGCTAATGAAGTGCTCAAATGGCTATATTAAGAGTTGTTAAAATTTGGCCTGTATTGTGCTGGTGTGGCCCAGTTGCATTGTGCCTCATTACAAAAGGGTCTAGATCATTCACTGGCACCCACGCTGTGAAAGGGAGTGTTTGTATTGGCTTGCATCTTTCGCTGTCAATCTAAATTGACTGCAGAAATATCCTGTCTCTTAAACATCGTATTGGATCCTAATTGACAGCTAATTATACACCAGGATTTATGATGCTCTTTTTGTGTGCGTTTCTGTTAATCCAGCCCCCATTTTTAATATCTCTGCTGCTTCTGTTTTCCCAACCCCTCCTCCCCACCCTGCTTTGCTGTTGTTTTCGGGTGGTGATAAACGGTATTTATTCAAATTCACATTTATTGTTTGATTGGTTGATTACTTATCTTTGGGCAAGCTCTCACTGGAATTATGTATGTTGGTGCAGAGAACATTTCATTGGTAAAAAAATTGAATAGTCCCCAGTTTCCATACCAGGAAGAATTATTTTGTGGCTTCCTGTAATGGAATAAGGAGCCAGAGAAGAAAGAAGTCTGCTGTATCTCTGCTTGTAAGACAAACCAGGCAGAGATTACTGAAAGAAGATAGATGGTGATACCATTGATTAATATCTTGACACTCAGGGTATTGGAAGAAAATAAATGAGACTCTTACCCAGGTAATTTCTGGGTAACATAACACCTCAGTAGTTGGTATTACACCATTCTTTTCTTCTCTCATGAGGAGAAGTAGAATATGTGCAAAGTGACACTGTACCACACTGAGTAAATGGTTAGTTAGGCAACAGGGTGTAGATCTATATGTATTAAACACCAAAAAATGTAATATCTGAATGTATGCAGGGATTGGGTTACAAGTTCTAATAACTGCTCCAAATTATGAATAGTTCTTCTCTTATTTCTGCTCGTACTGCTGCTAATAATAATAATTACCACAGTAGTTAGGTTTGTTTTTATCATGTCTATGGAATGGACAGGGAAAAATTTGGTTACAGTAATTTATGCTGTGGTAACTTCAGGGCTGAATTATTGCAATGTACTTTATGCTGGGCTGCCTTTGAAAATGAGTTGGAAGCTTCAATTACCTTCAAGAAGCTTCAGTGTATCTGCCCAACTATTGACACGTTCGAGGCAAACCTGCTCTGTCCTGGCTACATGTATGCTTCCAAGTCCAATTCGAAGTGCTGGTTTTGACCTGTAAAGCTTTTTCTGGCTCAGGGCCCCAATAATATATGGAACACCTTTCCTGCTGTGAACTGACCTGGACCCTTAGACCTTATTCTGAGACCCTTCTTTGGTTCTGCCCTTTGCAGAGTCTCAAAGGATGGTGACAAGAGAGGAAGGCCTATTCAGTTGTGGTTCTGTATATTCAAGTGTTGCTTCCATGGAATGCTCTACCTAGTGAGGTCTGCCTGGCATCTTTCCTAACTGATTTTGTTTTGCTGTTTGTGTGCTGCCCAAGCTGCCTGTGGCTATTTTTTTTGGGGTGTGTGTGTGTGTGAATGAATTGCAGGTGTTTGTATTCAAATACTAAATTCACCACATTTGTCAGATAAGGAATTTGAAATTTAATTTTAGTTGAAACTTGCATATCCAATAAATTTATTGTTCCAGTTTTCAGATGACTGGCCATCATGCCTTGGAAATATTTCCTCTGCACCTGCTGCCATTCTGGTTGCTTATAATAAACACATACTTATATTAATTTAAAGCATGATTGATAGTGTCTGCCCTAGAAACCTAATTACCAGAAGCATATGACTATGCCTTTGGTTTGACTCTGCCTTTAATTGGAATAGATGCCAGCAGTTTAGATTACAATAATGTGATTTAGTTCAATGGTTGTAAAAATGACAGTATACCAGGAAAGTAGGCCTTCCTGATATTGGTAGAGGGAGGTAGATTTCACACAGCTCAACTGGTTAGAGCATGGCGCTAATAACGCCAAGGTTGCAGGTTTGATCCCCATATGAGACAGCTGCATATTGCTGCATTGCAGGGAGTTGGACTAGATGATCCTCGAGGTCCCTTCCAATCTACAATTCTATGATTCAGTGTGGTTGACTTTCATTTGAAAGATGCAAAATCTGAGCAGGAGGATTTTCATGAGAACTTAACACAAGTTGGTTAGTTCCCCATCCACTCTAGCACTATATTATTCAGCATAATTAAAACAGCCGGAGAACATGTAGCTTGAATGTAAAAGGGGGGAAGTGGATCTCAACCCTATAACAGCACAAAAGATGAGAAAAAACAGCACCTAGCGTTGCACTGAACAGAAAGGTGTGTATTTGATAAAGTAAAGGTAAAGGGACCCCTGACCATTAGGTCCAGTCGTGCGGCGCTCATCTTGCTTTACTGGCCAAAGGGAGCTGGCGTACAGCTTCTGGGTCATGTGGCCAGCATGACAAAGCCTCTTCTGGCAAACCAGAGCAGCACACGGAAACGCCGTTTACCTTCCTGCCTATTTATCTACTTGCACTTTGACGTGCTTTCGAACTGCTAGGTTGGCAGGAGCAGGGACCGAGCAACGGGAGCTCACTCCGTTGCAGGAATTCGAGCCGCCGACCTTCTGATCGGCAAGTCCTAGGCTCTGTGGTTTAACCCACAGCGCCACTCTTCTCCCCCGCTCCCCAGGCCTCTGTATGTGCTCAAAATCAGCTGTGGAGTGTTGGGTCACCCTCCAAAGCAGATTTGGACGGAAAGCAGGCAAATTTAAAGTCCCATTGTGCCAGCAGTTGTATGTGTGTGAAGCATTGGATACAACCCATTGCTTCCTTCCTCCCCCCCCCCCCAAAAGTGTGCATCTAACAAACAGGAAAGCAGGGCTTTTTGCCTCCCTGGTGAATATAAGGAAGAGGCCCATCCAGCACTAGGAGGGAGAACCACTGGTGCTTTTTTCTACTTCCATTTGAATTCTTAGCTGGGCTACCTTTTAGAATGCTAGCCTGTCATCTTCCAGTTACTTGCAGTGATTATGGACAACTGTGGATCACTGCCAGTAAAGATGAATACTTTTGCCACTTTTAAAAAACCAGGATCACATGATTATGATGTGGACAGAGGCCCATCCTTAAATCCAATTCAAGTACCATGGCTAAATCGAGTTGTGGATTGTCTATTTATTTTTCCTGTGAATTTTCATCAACTTTAATATGCTATTGAAAGCAATATGAAGTTTGTGTATTCCATATATATAGAGGTAGAAGAGTGGTAAACAAGTGCTATCTCTTTCTACTGAACTGTTAATACGTTGCTTGTCAAAACTGCCTTTAATTTCTGTTGAAATTCAAAGAAAGGATAAAAATGCTTTGCTTTTTGCAAACCTAAAAACATCAGACAGGCAACCGAGGATATTAAGCTTGTCATGAAATGTTTTTCACAGAACACTGGGCCTCACAAAGCTGTAGGGCATACTGGGGCGGCAGGAACACAGCATTCTTCAAGTCAAAGATATAGAACTGTAGGGGATGACAGTATCCAAAGGTCATCTTGTCTACCTCTTGCCTGCAAAGGAACCGAATGTTTTGCATCTGGCCACAGTTATTTATGTACTGGCAGCATCTTGTTTAGTTCACTGTAATGCTCTCTACATGGGGCTGCCTTTGAGGTCTGTTAAAAAATGACACATTCTGCCAATTCCTTAACAGTCAAACTGGTTCCTGGTCTGTTTCCATACACCGTTCAAAGTGTCACTCTTAAACTGTAAATCCCCAAACGGCTTAGGGCCAGGCTACTTGTAGGACCACTGCTTCCCCTTGAAAGCACCTGGGTGTTAAGATCAGCTCTGGAGGCCTTGCTCTGGTTTTGTTACCTTTTGAACTGGTTGGTGGCAGGCCTTTTCCACTGTGGCACTTTATATTTGCAACTCCCCTTCTGGGAAGTTTGCTTGCCCACTTTCTTTGTTTTCCTTTTAGTAAGTGGTGAAAAACTTTTCATACCCCCAACCCTTAAATGTGTTTCAACATTTAAACCCATATGGTGGTGTGGATGTCTGATGTTTAGAAGACATCTGAAGGTAGCCCTGTTTATGGAAGTTTTTAATGACTGATGTTTTAATGTATTTTTAATCTTTTGTTGCAAGCCGCCCAGAGTGGCTGGGGAAACCCAGCCAGATGAGCTGGGTATAAATATATCATCATCATTATTATTATTATTATTATTATTATTATTATTATTATTATTATTTATTTGGTAGGCGTGTGTGTGTGTAATGCTGAGGTTTTATTTCCTGCTTTCTCTTGTTTTGAGATTTTAAAAAATATTCTGTTAAACTGCTTTATTTTAAATCATGCTAAAAGCATTTGCTGAAGACCTCCAAAGAAATAAACAGACCTTCCCATTTTGTGAGGGGAAATGAGTTCATTTATTGCATCCTTAGATCTTCAAAGTAGTATCAAAATCATTCTATTTTAGAATCATGGTAAACAAAGGGCACATATCTGGGAGACAACTATTTACAATTATCTTGGGTCAGTTACTTCCAACTAAAAAGTCTGTTTGCAGTTACATTGAATATGCTTTTTGGTTCCTGGTGAGGTTTTTTATGTTGTTGGTTTTTTTGGACTGTTTGTGAATTATTATTTTTAATATTCAAAGTACTCCAAAGTATGTTATACAAATGAGCAACAACAACCTGAATTGTATAAAAATATCCTGGTCTCTGAATTGTGGAGCAACCAATATTTTTGGGGGGGGACAACATCTGGTTTTTGAAAAAGCTTCACGTGCTTTCAATGGTTTAATGGATTTATATTGCAGTCAAGCCTATTGAGTTAACGTTTCTCAGGATTAGCCAATTGTTTTTTATTTTGCATTGTTTTAACAGTGTTAAATGTTTTATTGTATTTGTATATATTGTTGTGTATTATTTGGAGATACATGACTGTTTTAAAAAACAAATATACATTTAGTAAAATGCATACTATACCTTATCTTTCTTTTATAGCAATCCATGAAAAGAAGAGGAAGCAAAGACTTGCAAAAATCAGAAAAAAAGTCACAACAGACACCCACTGAGGTAACCTCAAATGCTTCTGTCTGTCCCATGGCACAACCCAGTAAACCTTACGATTATTAAATAAAAAAAACATTGGTGCAAGCCTTTCCTTAATCAGCATAATTGGAAAACTCTGGCTATTCTTGTGGCGCTCATTTAGTAGCCTGTTAGTAACCAAATTTTTAAATGCCGTTTTAGTAAGCTAGTTATAGAAGCTAGTTATAGTTATAGTTATAGAGAAGTTCCTAGCATCTGCACTCCTGAAATTTAAAGTTGGGGCTATTCTTGAATGGCTATTACAGTGATACTTGGAAAAATAATGGAAACAGCTATATTTTACTTGAAAAGATGGCACAGACCATGTCCCTGCTATACTGATGTCGTTTATCTCTTGGTCAGAGAGATTTTCAGCTTTCAGAATCTTAACAGTTCTCATGACCAAACTCAGGGCCACTTCACACATCACTTGCTTTTAGGTGAACCCTTAAAACATAACCTGTGAATGCAATAAACACAAACGTGTCTGACATACAGGTGTACTGTTAAGGGAGTTATGATAGGTTGCAGCTTCCTGTTGATAGTACATTGACAAATGGTTGGCAGATTGTTTCTGTGTAATGTGTGAAATAGCCCTTAAAAGGTAAAGGTACCCTGCCCGTACGGGCTAGTCTTGCCAGACTCTAGGGTTGTGCGCCCATCTCACTCTATAGGCCGTGGGCCAGCGCTGTCCGGAGACACTTCCGGGTCACGTGGCCAGCGTGACATCGCTGCTCTGGCGAGCCAGAGCCGCACACGGAAACGCCGTTTACCTTCCCGCTTGTAAGCGGTCCCTATTTATCTACTTGCACCCGGGGGTGCTTTCGAACTGCTAGGTTGGCAGGCGAAATAGCCCTTGGTAGAGAGTAAAACCTACTGCTGAGTAGGTTTTGAGGTGTAATAGTTCAGAACATGGAGTAATGATTTTTAAATAGGTTTAGTGGCACATTTTGCTTTTGTTTGATATTTGAAATGTGTATCAAATAGAAGCATACCTTCATGGAGTTCACTGGGGCTATTCTATGATTTGGAATTTTCATTTGCTGAATTGCCAAATGGTGTCATCACTTGTCTAGTAACTGTTGGATCTTCTTTCTTTTTTCTAAGGAGGACAATGAAGATCTGAAATGCCAGTTACAGTTCATCAAAGAAGAAGCTACCCTGATGAGGAAAAAGTTGGCCAAAATAGACAAGGAAAAGGACAGATTTGAACATGAACTACAAAAATATCGGTCATTTTATGGTGATCTAGACAGTCCCTTACCAAAAGGGGAGGCTGGAGGCCCACCTACCACAAGAGAATCAGAACTCAAGCTTCGTCTGAGGTTAGTAGAGGAAGAAGCCAATATTCTGGGAAGGAAAATAGTGGAGCTGGAAGTAGAAAACAGAGGGCTGAAAGCAGAGCTTGATGACTTGAGAGGAGATGATTTCTCAGGGGCAGCCAACCCGCTCATGGGGGAGCAGAATGAATCACTCTCTGAGTTACGGCAGCATCTGCAGCTAGTTGAAGATGAAACGGAGCTGCTGAGAAGAAACTTGGCTGATGTAGAAGAACAAAACAAGCGCATCACAGCAGAGCTGAACAAATACAAATACAAGACTGGGGCTCATGACAGTTCAAGGCATCACGACAGCGCCAAGACAGAAGCGCTCCAGGAAGAGCTCAAAGCTGCCCGCATGCAGATCAATGAACTCAGTGGTAAGGTCATGCAACTTCAGTATGAGAACCGAGTCTTGATGTCCAACATGCAGCGCTATGACCTGGCCTCTCATCTAGGGATCCGGGGCAGCCCCAGGGACAGTGACGCTGAAAGCGATGCGGGGAAGAAAGAAAGTGATGATGATTCTCGTCCTCCACACCGCAAGAGGGAAGGTCCCATCGGTGGAGAGAGTGACTCAGAGGAGGTCCGCAACATCCGTTGCTTGACCCCCACTAGATCCTTCTACCCAGCACCAGCAGGGTGGCAGAAAAGCTTCACAGACCGGCAGCAAGTGAAGGACATCCGCTGCGAAGCGGAACGCCTTGGCAAGACGATTGACCGCCTGATTTCGGACACAAGCACCATAATAACAGAGGCAAGAATTTATGTGGCAAATGGGGACCTGTTTGGACTTATGGATGATGAAGATGATGGCAGTAGGATACGGGAGCACGAACTTCTTTACCGAATAAATGCCCAGATGAAGGCATTTAGAAAAGAGCTCCAGGCCTTTATTGACACACTAGAAGTTCCAAAGTCTTCAGATGATCGAAGTACAGATGAACCTTTGTCAGTGAGTCAGGTAGACTTTTACTTCATAAGATGCCTAGGTAAAAACTTTCAGCCCAAGGTGTTGTATGGATGGTTGACTGGCATTTTCCTTACATTCTTATATATCACGAAAGGCACATTGTTTAAATTTGCTGTGGCTTTCTTAGTTTCAGGTTTGTAGCGTAGTCCTAATAATTGGGTTACTGGCACCACACAGGGCTGGTATGGGTTGGCATGACTTGGCAGCTGCCCACACCTCTTCCATGAGCCCATTGCCAAGAGCCCCCTCTTCCCACCTGCTGCTTCTCCCTGTCTCTTGCCCCTTCCTTTGGACTCACCGGCGACAAATTAAGGCATCGTGAAGGAGAAATACCAGACACTTCCTGCGGTAAGGAGGTAATACAGTGAACAGTAAAGCGGAAGTGGTCTCATAATAAAATTGTCGGCCAAAGGTTCTGCTGCAGTTTATTCTGGGGGAGCGGATCATATTTTGAAATATGCCACATGTTAAAACCATGGTCAGCTCAGGGTTTAGGGAGCCCCCATCTGCACATTAAAATTGAGATAGTAACATGGCAAAAATGATCAGATGCCTGGCAGAATGTTTGAATAATTATCATTTGAGATGCAAAGAAGTGACCTGGTTATATAGAATTATGTGCCTGGAAGATGGATACTGAATTTTAACCAGTACTTTCTAGGGCAGTTCTGATGTTCTTCTTCCCTGTCTTACAAAATGCACTTATCTCTTCTGAGCCTGAAACTATTCAGGCCCCTATCCATAGCTGAAAGGACTTCCTGTTACAAATTGTACAGATACATTGAGATACAGTTTGTTCCTCTCTTAAAATGCAGAAACTTGGGTTAATTCAGTGGAATTGGTTGGCAGGCATTTCATAAGTCATTTTAGACAGCTAGCTTCAAAGTGACCTTGTACATATTTCCTTTTTTTGGGGGGGGGGTCAGGCGATTTCTGTAGAGCTTAATATATAATAATATCTTTAAGCACTCTACAGAAACCAAAAACAACAGCAAGAGGCAATTTAACAGCAATACAATTTAATACAATTCAACAGCAACAGTGTTGCATATACAACTGTTACATTAATGCAAGTTACTAATAAATATAGACCAATATCCTTCTCCTCCTGACACACCTCCTCTCAGCTCCAAGACTGTACACACCCACCCTTGCTCTCATTCAGGGCTGAACAAACTCACAGTTCTCCCACAAAATCTCACAATAAAGAGGGTTCCTGGAATTTGCTGGCATCATCCTAGTTTCTCACTCTAGTCATGTTTTGGAGGACCGGCAGCAGGTGGAAAGAGCTTCCTCAGAACTGCCTGCATCATTGTCCCATGCAGCACTCAGCTGTACTGCACACACCCAGTTCAGAAGACTAAGCCTCAGGTGTGGTTCTTTCTTTCTTTTCACTTGAAATGTTACGTTTGCTGCTTCATTAACATAGCGTTATCTTGTCTTTGTATTTACCTTCCCAGATGTTCCAGCCTATCATTTTACTTATTCTCATCCTTGTATTATTTTCATCCCTTTCTTATGCAACAATATTTAAACTTGTCTTCCTTTTCACATTGTTCTTTGTGCTGTAGTAAACAGACCTTTTTCATCATTTTGCCATTCATTGTAGTATTCTTTTCAGTTTGTTTTGTTTTGTCCATCCTTCCAAGATGGCTGTAGTTTCTGTAGTAATCGCTGCTGTAAAAACACTGAAGACTACTCACTGGAAAGAAGGGATGCCAGCCCTCACAAGTCAAATAATATAGAACACAAAAGAAACAAAACCCCCCACAACTGAACCAGAATTGTGCTCAACCAAAAAGCTAGGTAAGCATGTGAAAAACAGGTCTTTATTCTTTTTAGAATAATCTTTCTTTTTTAGTAAGATTGGGATAAAAAGGAGGCTGAAACTTACACAAAAGTTGGCTTTACAGTAATTGAAACATAATTTAGAATGCTAGAAATGTTGTATGTTCCTCATCCCAAATTCTTACATTGCAGTTGCAAGCTAACTAAAGGTTCCTGCAGTTTGTGCTATGCAAATATACACATTTGTATAGGTGAGAGATAGCAGAGTTGTTCAAAACAGGGACTTTGAGTTTATAATAATTCTACATGGAGTTTGCCTGACTTCTGCTCCTGACTGTTTAAGACACAGAACTTCTACTGATATCCTTTGGGAGCAAGGCTCTCGAGTCCACAAACAGCCCTCTGGCACATGAGTGGCAGTTAAGAAACAACAACAGTGAATCTCTTCTAGTCAAAAGCTTGTCATATAAATTATTAGAACAAGATTGAATTGTAGGTGGGTTTTCCCCCCTGTGTGTGCTTTAAAAAAAATTTAAAAATTAATTCCCTTGAGGAAAAGTTGCTTTGAGAGTCACCATTTCCAGTTTCTCAAAAGCAATTAAAAAAACCCCCAAGAGCAGGCTGCTCTGCTTACTCTCCCTTTCTTCTGTTAGGCTGGGCTACTGCTCAACCCCCAGCACAATAAGCTTGACAAGTTTAAAGATTTAAAATAACACTGGAATGGCTGGTGGATCATGATGGTGCTACTGCAAATAAGTAGAAGGTTCTCTCTTAAAAGACTGCAATATTGCCTTGCTCTGAAGAAATTTGTGCCCAGAACTCCTGATTACAGTCATAATAAGACATGACTCCGGCGACATGTGTCATCAACCCTTTGGAAGCAGAAAAATAAACAGCCGTTGGATAACAAGACATTCACAGAAACAGTGCCAAAGTCTGTCATGATGATAAAGAGAAAGAAAGCTAGAGAGATGAACTGTAGATGACCTTCAGAAGTTGTTTACAGCATGTCTACAGCCTTAGGAATATCACACTCCAGTTCCTTTGCTTGGCTTGTGCTGGATTAATTTCAGGCTGCTGCTATTGCAAGGGAAAACAAAAGCCACCCCTGAATTCTATATGCTGGTGCAAAATCCTTACCAGCAAAATGATTATGTGAATGCTATAAATAATCATTTAGTGAAAATGATAGCCATCCATTTCCAATAGGGCACATTAGAAAAGCTACTGTTATCATAGCTATTACTGTTCATTAGATTTATATCCCACCCTTTCCTCCCAAAGGAGCCCAGGGTGGCACACACACACACAAGTGATAATACACTTAAACCAGGTATTTAAAAAGTGAGTGCAGATGCAGACTGGAAAAGACCTCTGCTTAAAATGCTTGTTGAAAGAGGAAGCTCTTCAGTAAAGACTACAGAGATGGCACCTTTCTACTGTTCAAGAGGAGGGAATTCCAGTGCTTAAAGGCCCAATGCCTGTACTGATAAGATGGTATCTGTGGGAGGCCCATACCTGCAGAATGCAGTGATCAGTTGAGACTAGCTTTTAGGTATCTCGAGGTGCCCACCAAATAGTACAAATAAGTGCAGCCTTGCATTAAAATGTTGCAGTGTTGAAGGCTTCTATTCAGAATTCCAGACCACCCCTCTTCCCACTCCCTCTCGGGCTTTCCACCTTCTTCCTCCCTATTCTTTTTTACTTCAGTAAGTCTTCGGGTTCCCCCAGCCTTGATTATACCTTCCTCTTGTATGTAGGTGGTGCTGTTGTGGCTGCCAATAATAATAATAATAATAATAATAATAATAATAATAATAATAATAATAATAATAATAAATTTATTATTTATACCCCGCCCATCTGGCTGAGTTTCCCCAGCCACTCTGGGCGGCTCCCAATCAGTGTTAAAAACTGTACAGGGTTACATATTAAAAACTTCCCTGAACAGGGCTGCCTTAAGATGTCTTCTGAATGTCAGATAATTATTTATCTCTTTGACATCTGATGGGAGGGCGTTCCACAGGGCGGGCGCCACTACCGAGAAGGCCCCTGTCTGGTTCCCTGTAGCCTCACTTCTCGCAATGAGGAAACCGCCAGAAGGCCCTCGGCGCTGGATCTCAGTGTCCGGGCTGAACGATGGGGGTGGAAGTACTGGGAGCCAATGCAGATCTCTCAGAACCGGTGTTATGTGGTCCCGGCGGCCACTCCCAGTCACCAGTCTAGCTGCCGTATTCTGGATTAATTGCAGTTTCCGGGTCACCTTCAAAGGTAGCCCCACGTAGAGCGCGTTGCAGTAGTCCAAGCGTGAGATAACTAGAGCATGCACCACTCTGGCGAGACAGTTCGCGGGCAGGTAGGGTCTTAGCCTGCGTACCAGGTGGAGCTGGTAGACAGCTGCCCTGGACACAGAGTTATCCTGCGCCTCCATAAACAGCTGTGAGTCCAAAATGACTCCCAGGCTGCGCACCTGGTCCTTCAGGGGCACAGTTACTCCATTCAAGACCAGGGAATCCCCCACACCAACCCGCTCCCTGTCTCCCAAAAACAGTACTTCTGTCTTGTCAGGGTTCAACCTCAAGGTTCAGCCTAGGGACTAGCACTCAAAGATTTAAAATTCCTATCGTTACATGCAAGCGTAACTACATGCAGCTACACCCAAATGTTGTAGTTTATCTCTAATGTGCATGTGTTATCGTGCATTATTTGAGCCTGTGTCTATGGGATTTAGAAGAGGTAGAGTCTTAACAGGATCTGGAGGACAGAAAGTGCCCTGGCTGCACAATAGATGGCCTTATTTTTGTTTTGTTTTTTAAAAAGCAAAAGCTAGTTTTGTTTTTGTTTTGTTTCTACATATGATTGATTGATTGTTAAGATAGATAAATGGAGGAAGGTTGAAACCAGACCTGCACTGAATATCATACATACATGGGCCAGTAAAAGAATGCTCCCTTAGAAAAAGACCACTGCATTTTATAAAAGAAGTCTTAACGTTTTGCACAGGGTGCTTTGGCAAGGTTTTAAAATGAGCTCTCTATGAAACCTAAACATATCATAGACAGGAAATTATTTTTACATAAACTATGAGAATATGCAATGTGATACAGATGGCAGAGACTTCAAAACTCTTCCAGGCGCTGATGTTACATGAAAACCAGTTACTAGAATGATGTTAAGTTGTCTTCAGTTGCAAAGTTGATCTAACAGAGTTCCAAGGGTTTTCCTAGTTGATAAGCTGATTCTCTCCTTTCTTTGAAGGATATGTGTGTAACTGGAGCCCTTTCCCCTCCTCACTGCATTCACTGCTATGTTACATCTGAACTGAAATACTGCTGAAAGGATTCTTCCTCTTCAAAAGGTTGGTGCACAGTTTGTTTTTCATTCTAAATTTTATTCTTATTTGATGATAAGAATAATTTCAAATCAAGATGGGTTTAAGTGTGGTTTTTTGGCACATCTGTCTAGTTTCAATCCTGATTTGAATGTAGATCAGTAATCATGATTTTTTTAAAAAAAGAATATGCTAAGTGAGGCTTTCCTACATGACTTGATGCCACATTTTGAATGTTACTTTTTAAATTTGTGTAATGTGAGTGAGTCTTTGATGTGTACGCACTATAGCACAGAAGCTTGGGATCCAAACTAACAAATGTTATTGTGAGTTCCCAAAAGTCTGGCACAGCTGAATGACTAGGTCACTTGTAAAGAAGGCTGTACATATCTGACAACTGCCTTTAACATCCACTGCTTTCTGCATTTGTCAGACTAGAACACTTCTGCGGCTGACATCTCTCTCCATTATTTTTATGCTTTCCATACACCATTTATTTCAAACAATAAATGGGATATAAACAAAGTGGGATATAAGGATTGTTTAATGCTAGGCAGCATTTTGTTTTGTTTTGTTTTGTTTAAGGAGAATACTTATTTCAGAGAAGGGCGAGGAAAGCAGAGCTGATGCTTGGGTGTGGCTCTTATCTTTGTACAGTAAAGGTAAAGGTAAAGGTACCCCTGCCGGTACGGGCCAGTCTTGACAGACTCTAGGGTTGTGCGCCCATCTCACTCAAGAGGCTGGGGGCCAGCGCTGTCCGGAGACACTTCCGGGTCACGTGGCCAGCGTGACATTGCTGCTCTTTGTACAGTACTTTTCATCAAATAGATAAATAAATGAACATAAACGAGGATAGGTCTCCACTTCAAATTCTACACTGACCATAGACTGATTTGCAGGACTGATTTATGTAGTGCGAAGTGATACAGATGAAAACACTGCTTATCACTTAAAATGCTTTTCTCATTTGTGCAGAAAGTACGTGTTTCCTTTCCTGGGAGAATATGCAGAAAACTGAAATTGCACTAATTACGCAAGAGGTGAAACATGTGCAACGAGAACACACAAGCAGCTTCGGTTGCATTTGAAACAGGAGAAGAAAATAATGGGAAGGACTTGAGTGGCACCAGCAGTTGTTTGAAGGAGATGCAGTCTGATGCTCTTGCTGAGGTTGATTAATTAGACAAAAAGGAAGAAGGGTGGGGAGAGCAGCGAGGAGGGAAATGCATCCCTTCAAAAGGTATTTCTCCCTTGTTCAACAAGCTCTCTCTGCACAGGTTTCTGGAGCATTAGCAAAAGACATAATGCACAAAAGCAGTGGTAAGACCCAAGAACGTCCAGATGGAAATGAATTTATTAATCCATCTTCTGCAAAGCAGTGTCCTGATTCAGTGCCACTAGTGAAGAGTGGAAATGTGTCAGTGGTTCTGCAGTGGTCATCTAAGAAAGGGATCCATCCTTTGAATGAAAGCTGCCAGGAGGATTTTCTCACAGCTTGTAGCCTTGCGATGCTAGCAAATTTGGGAAGTCTTCTAAAAATGGCTCTTCCCCTTGCTCTATCCGGAAGAGTGGTTCTGATGTTTGGGGAGACCATGAACCCAGATGACATGACAAGCCAAGATTTGTGGGTTGTTGCTCCCAAAGCAGCATGGCCAAGAGCATGGGAGAATGGAGACTTTTGAGCATAGAACTATCAGTTAACATGTGCAGCCATAGCCAATGTGCGATACGGAACTGGAAAGATGTAAATAAAACACTGGAAGCAAAAGTGGATGAGTAGGCCTAAAGGCCTAAAATGGGCTGAAATAGAACCAGAATGCTTCTTGTACCACCTGGAGAACCAAATGCCCACCACATATAGCGGGACTGTATGACTAGCAGAGCACCAAATGAAGAGTCTTTTAGAAAGAGGTACCTGTGCAAATCCTGCAAAGCTTAACAGAGCAACAAAAGTAACTAAATTGATTTCTGGGTGGCTGAGCTGACTCAAGATCCCGCTATGTTGTGCTGGAAAAGCTTCAAAAGAGCTATGGGAGGGGGGGAATTGACTTTCTCCTGCAATTCAAAGTTCCATGAAGAGCAGTGAGTAGAGTCAGGTTCTGAATTTGCCAGAATGGTAGGAATGAGAAACTGGGACAGGAAGGCTGAGGAAAGCAGGACCGGCAGAAGAATTCAACCAAGTACATTGGCGTTTACTCCAAGTATGGCAAAGAGAAGCAAAATTTTGCATGAGGTATAATCTACTTTTTAAAAATGTATCCCATTTTTATTCTGCCCTTCTTCCATTTTACATATTCTGACATAGCAGAAATTTTAAGAAGAGCTCTAAAGGATGATTTAGATATTTGGATTCCCACATGGAAGCTGTCAAAAATGCTTCCTGGTTGCAGGGATTGTTTTCCTGAGGTGAAGCTCCACAAACAGGGGCTACCACTGAAAAGGTCTATTCTCATGTGGCAACCGCCACGCCTTTCTTGGATGAAGCACCTATACCACTGCGAAAGAATATGCCGCTGGTATATATGTTGTCAGTGTTCCATTGGATGCATTCTAATTCTAAAAAGTACAAAGACCTTGATGCAAGCATATGAACAATGATGAGAAGTATGTCATTCTCAGCTAACTGCTTGTCTTTGGTTTAATTATTTTTCCACTTCCTAGAGAGCAGGGTAATTTTCTGATATTCATTTTCATAATAGTAATAACTTTTAATTCTAGAACTTAGCCTTTTTACTCTAAGAGGATAACATGGCATTAGTAAAGGAGAGAAATAATCTCATTATGCTATTGTAAATCCTTTGCCATAATCTTCCTTTTGAACAATGTCATCAGACTGCTATGAACGCAATCCAGATAAAATTACACTCTCTTTTTTTCCTGGGAAAGAAAGAGAGAAGAAAAAGGATTAAAAATAAAAGCCACACCAGGTTATCAAACTGGGTTGGAGAAGGAAATATTATTTAATGAGGAAGAGATTATTGTTTCATTATATTTTTCTCTTTCCACCCTTGGAGAAGGCAACAAAAGTACCCTTCCTGTGTGGAAAATAGCTGGCTTCTCTAGTGGCAATAACTGGGCATATTTGGTTGTGCTCTGATTGTCTTGCTAGGTTGCCCCAAGGTTGGGGCTCCTGACCTGAAAGTGGCCTTCTCTAGTGGTAGAAATCACCAGCTATATTATAACATGGCTTATGGGCAGGGATTATGGGAGCTCTCGTGCAACAACATAGGGAGGGGCAGATTTCTCACCCACTTCAAACTCTTTCTGCCTCAGGCATTTTGTGTCTTCCTTAGTTTCTTGACACATACAAGACTTCCGTCATTTCATCTTTCTATTACATGGTTGCTGAGGTTTCTTCTGACTTCTTTACCCAAGAAGCTGCCTTTTGTTTTCTAGGTGTCTTTGCCAGCTAAACAGTCAATTGGGAAAAGTTTCTCTCAGCCAACTTGACAAGCGACTAGATGGGACCTGCAGGTCAGCACCACATGCAGTGTGAAGGATAGCCTGGAATTGACACACTCCTGGGTTTTTATTGAGAGATCCCAGTGGATGCAAACTCAAAAGATAATTCAATGCTGTTGTGAAAACTCCATACCTCACCTGGACTCTCATTTTCATGTTCCTAACCGTGGCAAGTTCTATTGCAATCGTATGTTGGTCAATGATGACCCCACCTTTTTGACTTTGCTGGAGAAGCATATTGGATTCGTAGATCATCCTTAGAGTCTTCAGTGTTTTTAACAATAAGAACGCCCTTCCCCACATGTGTATATATATCCTTTCGTAGCTCACAGCCGTTTTTGTTTTCAATTACACGTGCTGATGTTCATCGCCTCCATCATTTTTTGTAATTTAAATAATGTACAGCTCTGTATATTCTGACTTTCTCTGCAAACAGCGGGAAGAAATGCTGTACGCATGGTCATGTGTTTGTAAGTGCATGTGTTGGAATAGGAAGTATACCAGTCTGTATTTAGAAGAGACAAAATCAGTACTAGTACTGACACTGAAATTATAGGCCTACACACACACACACACACACACACACACACACACACACACACCCTAACTTTGTGGTTTATTTTGAAGGTTAGAAAATACATAGCTCTGGTGATAATTATATTTTGTATATATTTTACAGGTTTCACAGGTCTGATCTAGTATTTGATATACAGAAACTGACAATAGGCTTTTTGTTTTTGTTTTTGTAAATGGATAGTAGTGATAAGGCATTTGCACAATATTTACCAGAGGCAGAATAGCTCATTGGATCAATTCCTCATTCATGGTTGATGCTCTTTTCCCCCCCTGCTTCACTTCTCTAAACATTGCAGTGCTAGGTCAAAATCAGCTGGGCCTATTTTTCTGAATTAAATGAACTGCTGCTCGTAACTGCATTAGCCTACATACCTAAAAATGATCAACTTTCATAAAGCGCTTACACCTGCCATTCGTTGTCACATTGCTTGGAGACTAAATTCCAGTGCATTTTTATTTGCAGTGTGCAGTGTGTGTTGCACAGAGGGGAAAGGACAAGACGGATGGCTGCACAATATCTTTGTGGAGAACTCACCCTTACAAGAAATTCAGGGCTTCTGCTACAACTGGCCCCAAGTCTTGAGATGCCCATTTCCCTCACCTGCAGAACGTGATAAGGAGCTGAGGTGGGAAAACACTACCTGTTACAGTGTCCAGATATGAAGTTAGATTAACTCCATAACATTGCGGGGGAAGGACAAATTTTCCCTTTCCTCTAAAATTCTGTTTATTAAGATGCAGCCAAGCCATTTAGGCAAGTGCTGTCAGGGTTTGCTGAATGTCTGGGCTTAAAGCTAAACTGGGTGGATTTTGTACAGCTCCTCCTCCTCCCCATTACATTGGTCCAGACTGCAGTCAGAGGTCTGGCAAGGCAAAGTTTGTTTGGAACACAAGTAGAAGCTGTTGAAGTACAGTGGTCTACTTCTCTTCTGCTTTTCTTAATCTCCAGCTGGGCTTCAGATGTCCAAGGCAATTGCACACATTCTGCTCCCATGGGTGATACAAGCAGCTCTCTGCTGTGAGGTTTGCTTGCATTTTGGCATAAAGTACATGCTGAATCCAGATAACTTTTCTGACTTGCCAGAATATTTAGACTGATGGCATTGGAAGTATCTATTTGTCATAACCCGTCTCTGTGTTTTGGGCTATTAGTGTGCTGTGTACATGGCCTGGCTTGTTTCCCTTCCCAGCAGTCTTAATGAAATATAGATCCTGCTGAGATGCCTTATTTTAAGTATCATAAAAATGCCTTCTTTTTAACCTTCTTAGAACTACATAGGAGGAGCAAACAGCAATCCACTCAGCTTACTTAGGAACAAAGAGGCAGTTCTGTTACATCAGCCTGGTTTCTTACATTTCCCTTCTCAACTCCAACTAAGTACAGGTAGCATGTTCACAGACATTTCGGGCAAGCTTTCAGCATCCACTAATAGCTCAGTTGGTTAGAACATGGTCCTAATGCCAAGGTTGCAGGTTTGACCCTCATACGGGTCAGCTGCACATTTTTGCATTGTAGGGGGTTGGACGAGATGATCCTCAGGGTACCTTCCAATTTGATGTTTCTATGATACCATTTTGCTTAATGGGCATTTTCTTAAGGTTGCAAAGAGAGGGACTTCTGTTGTCTTGTAAGGTGACTGTAATACTCTTGGGGAAGTTATTGTGCTAATCCAGATAGTGATTCTATTACCGTCATTGTGTCAGTAAAAGAACCAGAGAATAGACTAGTTTATATACTGCACTAAAGTTTGTGGTTTTTTTTAAATCAAAATTCTGTGCTACGTAATTCATGCCAACAAAAGCGTTTTCTCCCTTCCCCCAAAGAATTATATCTTTCTAATCTACATAACCAGATATTTGAATTCTATAAATAGGTAGGTAGGTGGTCGATTGTTTGATTTTTGGATATAAACACTCAGCCTGATAAAACAGAGCTCCCATTGCAAATAGTACCCAGTGGCTGCAAGGGAAGCTTCAGTGCAATGTGTTATCTATCTACATCTCTTTTAAATGGATAATGGTGTGAAATGTGTTTAGCATTGTATAAAGAAAGTTTGAGACTAAACTTTGTGTAGCGTGTGGGTTCTGGTGTGCTGTGCTCACCTCCTGGAACTTCCAAGGAAACAAAACAGACTTATTAAGACTCTTTCTCCCCCCCCCCCCACTGGTTATGGGTTTACCATATTGGCATAGCTTACCTCCTCCAGCCTCTTGTGTTGGTCTTCTGGCTTCCACTGCTCTCTGGACTAGGAAGAGGAGCTGGTAGTGGTAGCAGAGAAGGATAAAAGGAAGAGCCAGGCAGGACAGCAAGTGGTGCAGTCCAGAGATGTTTACAGAGGGACTGACAAGTTGCAGCTGAGCTAAATCTTGCTGCTGCAGTTTCTGTAACCCTGTAGGTTTGTGTCAGTGGGAAACTAGCAAACATTAGGTACTAAATGTCCATTTTCTGCTTGATCAGACCTTGCTGAGTGCTTCCCTAGCTCTAGAAAAATTTCTGAAGTATATTAAAGAACTGCAGTCCTATGATCCCTTACTTGGAGTATGCTCTGGCAAGCAAAGCAGGATTTACTTTCAAGTTAAGATTGGTCTGACATGCTGAAATCCTGAGCATAGTTACTCGGGAATAAATCCTATTAATCACATTTGGACTGATTTGGGAGTAAACATGCCAGAAATTTGGCTGCACCTGAATTTCCCCCCCCCTAATAGACTTTCTAAACTATTCTTTTTGTTTTAGACCATCGTGATAGAATTCCTTTTCCATTCTGTGTCTTTTTCCCCAGCTTCACAAACATATATTGAGGCATTCCTTTGCTGCCCTGCTTTTGAGGTGTGTCTTTGTGTTTGGCATTGCCATTGAAATAAACCAAACGTGTGTTTTATGAACCTTGCATGAGAATGAAGTAAGACTGTCTAAACTGCAACAGAACCAGCTATCTTCTTGGGCACAGAGGACTCTGTCATCAAGTGGCTCACGCTACCAACTATTAAAATGTTCGTATGGTGAGGCATGTGGGGAAACCCTGGAGTCTGAAAATAGGCTTGATGTAGGCACCCCACTATTTGAAAACTTAGTTTATTTAAAAAGTGGGCTTTTAGGGTGCCTGGGAGCAGGAACAGTGGTTGATAAAGCTCCGATATTTGGAACGGCGAACAGCCCAAAGTTCTCTCCAAATTTGGAGTCGCTCAGTGCATATTTGTGTGCCAGGTGCTGCTTGTCTGTGCAACCAGCATCCAGTGCAAGATTTTGGAAAGCCCACAATATATTGGTCTTGTATGGCCAGAGGGGAAGCCCCTGGAACCTGAGAATAGGCATGATCCCCCTTCCGTTGTTAAAACACAAAAGGGGAAGGTTTTTGCCTAGTTTTGCACTAACCACATCTCTGTAATATGTAGCTCTTTGTGTGAAAACAAAAGCATACCTCACAGTGGTTTCCAAGATGAACAGGACTGGACAGCAATACGTGCTCCGATGATGAGTACACCTCCTGGATGAGAGCTCCCACAGTCAATTTCCTAATTCCAAAGTTGACTGCCAGCTCCCAGCAGCACTTCAGGGTTGCCAGCCACCATATTGAAAATACAACCTGCTTCTCAACTGGAATGGCACACCATGTGACTAGGGTTTATTCGGAGTGGTGGCCTAAGGAGCTCGGCCCTCTCAAAGCTGCATAGTTCATCCTAATGTAAGCCATCCTATTAAGTTAACATTTTGTATAAGAACACATTTGGTTTAAAAAGGCTGCTGTTGACTAATATGTCATAGAAAAAGACAGACTTTCTTTTGAGGAATCACACTTGTCTGTGGGGTTATCAGCTATATAAATCCAGCACAAGGAACCTCAGCTGGTGGTAAGCATTACTTTCTGGGCACATTTTCTCTAATTCGCCTGCGTGCTAGGAACAGATGCTGCAAGTGAACACTGCCACCGTGTGGTTGTGTTTAATGTTTATGGGGGGATCACTGCTAATGAAATTATAGAGGCAAAATTTTCCATCTTCAAAATACTAGGTTAAGGCCTGATTCAGAAATAAGATGTTACACTTGAAGACAATGCACTATTTGCTTTTTAGTCATGTGGTACAATATGAAGGCACATTATATAGAACTTTGCTAAACAGTCCTGGGCCTAGACCGTGTCTGAATTGGAGGTTGCTAGGAAAGTTTATATATTCTGCTTTCAGCTGCATGGAAGACGGTGGGATATTAATGAGTTAATGACCGATAACATTTTGTTGGTGTAATGTGAACAATGGGTAAAACTGCACAGTGCTTGGGCTCATGTCTTGAGGTGCACATCCCCCATCCCTGGAAGTTCTGAGATAAGATGCCAGGTGCACTGGGTTACCATAGCAACACCAATGAGGCTGAGTCATTCACCCTCCCAATGGTTCGAGATATATGCCTACATGTAGAGATGGGTATAATAGTCTCTAGGGTATCGATTTCATTATGTCTCGCCATGTCTGTCCTGTTTGCTGTCAGGGTCTAACTCTGAATCTGTGAGAGTCAGGGGAAGAGGTGGTAGGTTTTAACACAACAGCATTAGCTACCATGGTGATAGTGGGTCTCTCTGTACTTACTTATCTTTATTCCAAAGACCAAAAGAACTATATATTGTAGATAGTAGTGTCTAGCTTTGTCTTGTGTCTGGGGACAACAAACACTTTGTTACTTTGAACTGTATGGGAGAGGATTTTTTCCTTTAACCGGGGTCTCTGGAATAAGCTATCTGCTGGAAAACAAAATCTCTGAAGACTCTGCTGGGGCTTCTCAAACTCTGCTGATACATCACACTGCTTGGTGAACTACCAACTGACTTCCACAAGTCAACAATTTCCCCCCTTTTCTCAGCATCTTTATTTGATATGATTTTTTTCTTAAAAACTACAATTTCAAATAGTGTTTTTTTCCTTTTATAGTGCATGCCTCAAATAATTGTAAGCTTTAATTGGGTGACTGTCAATCATTCCAAAGTTTTGTCATTATAAAAATTTATTATTATTATTATTATTATTATTATTATTATTATTATTATGCTAAGATTCACATTCTTTGTGACGTTATTTGGGCTGATCCATGCCCAAAGCAGCCAGAGTGGCACCTCCCTCCCCCCCCACCCACACAGGAACACACAAAGAAAATAGTGACACCACAGCCTTTCTGTAGAAGTTAGTGACACAGATGTTTTACCTCAAAATGGAAGGGCAAAGAGGAAATACCCTTATCTCTAATACAGGGGAAAAGAATACAATTTGAAATTTCATTCAGCCCCATTACTGCATGCAGCTTTTTAATGAGATCTGTGATATAATCTCCCTCAAATCAATACCTATTCACCATTTTTAAAATATTGGGCCTCTGCCATAGAGGTTTAAGCTCTAAAGCTGAAAAGTCAATAGTGTTAATTTATATTTGATCTGGCCCCATGGGAATGGAAGGTTGTTTTTTTTAAAAAGGTCAGGCATTGTTAAGCATTTAGACATACAAAAAAAAAAAGGATTTTTTTAAAAAAAATTTAGTTTTAACTTCTAGGATTGGATTTAGAGTCAGTGAGTTTGACATCTCAAAGTCTTCCATTCAGACATGTAAACATGTGGTATTGACCTAAATGTAGAATAGTACAACTAGAAGAGACCTTAAAGACCACCAGTTCTCTGCAATGACAGGATTTATTTGATTTAAACAGCCCCTCACAGATAATGTGGCCAATTCCTCTTTTAAAACTGCCACAGTAAGTAGACTGAAATGTCCATAAAGTTAGATGTCTGTTGCTGTCTCATGCAGCCTGCTTTTCTAGACTATGCAAGAAACAGAAAGGATACCTGACTATGACCTTTTTAAATGGAGCTTCAAAGAAAATCAATGGGCTGGATCCTGAAAATAACAAGCAGAAGAATAATCTGAAGGGGGCTTTCACCCCCCCTTCCTTGCACCCCCCAAAACCATCTCCAGAGGGTTGGGAGCATCTCCTGAATGGCATGGAATGGGGGGGGGGGTTTTACAGGGGCAGGGGTGAGGAAACGGGCCAAAATCAGGATGAGACGCATTGTGCAAGTACAACACAACTATCAAAATACAGGACAGACACCACCAATTAATATAAGATTAGCAGCAAAAATTCTGTATACAAAATAGTGATGAGAAAAAGAGAAGTCTCTAATTGCAGATACTGGTACCTCATACTATGTGAATTTGCAACCTTAAGCAAAGTCACCTCCATCTTTTAGGTGAAAAGGGACAAACTTTTTTGGGATTTATAAGAAGCTGCATCTATGATTTTCTCAGATACTAAACAAAACCTTAAACTAAAAGCAAACACAAAATTAGCAAGATAATTTAGGGGGGAAATCCCTACTAATGCTAATTATAATGGCAATTATAACTATATCAATACTTGTCGATTTTTGTTCTACTGGTTTAATTGCGTTAAACAGTCTATTGTTTATTGTTTCCTCTGTTAATACTGTGCCATTATTGGTTTATGGTCCTTGAGCTTGTGATTTGACTTTTTTAAGAACAATGCAACACTCTACATCTAGTAATCAGTTAGTCGTTTTCCAAACCAGCTTTGCTGGCAATCAGCCATTGGCCTCTGTAACATGTCATAAATTTAGATACCGTAGATATGCTTAATATGCAATGGACAGGGCTTCAGTATTATTTTCTGCACCAAAATCACCATACACAATGGAGCCACACTGAGGAAGGGGGTGGGAAATGCACCCTGAATTAATTTTTGTTACTTCTGGAAGGTATATGAAAACTTACCAGATGGTTTGTGCCCAGGTATACCACATCTATAAATAAACTGAAAGTTGGTAGATCTTGGAAAGCGCAGGTTAAAATCCGTCACAAACACTGTTGCTAAGCACGCAAGCTGCTACCCTCTCAACTAGCTGCTATTTCCGGCTGTCATGAAATATCCTGTGCATGGAGGCAATTTGATCTGGAGGTGGCGAAGATACGTATCGCTTTGGTGAGATTAGCATCCCAGAGGAAAAGTCATAACTTCCTGCTCAGACAGAGATAACGTGAAATCTTCTCAGCTGCAAAATGAATCTGAGATTAGGAGAAGTCCATAAAGATAGGATACCCTTGATAAAAAGAATTTCCTTCTGCCTACCCTCAGACTATATTTCTTACTTTACTTCTAACCAGAGCTGCTGTGATGTGGCTACATTTGATAAAGGAGGAAAGATTGAACCTGCATAGGTGTTCCTAGGAACAGGGTAACTTTCTGTTCTAGTATTAGAGATACCAGCAGATAACTTTTGTATTGGGTCACATTCTTGACATTTCAGGAAACGGAAGTCTGCAGCAAGTTGCAGAATCCTGAAGTGAATGCTTTTTTCAGCCAGTTTTTTAGCACATTCATCTTTTAAGCTATTGCTCTTTCCTGTCTGCAGTTTTAAGGATCGTTTGTAGCTGCTGAGACACTTGAAAACTTGGTGAGACTTCTATTTTGTTGTTATTGCCAAAGTCCCACCTTTGAGAGGAGTTAGTATGTTATGCACCGTAAGCAAAAGAAGTGCAGTGGGCAGACATTGTGCTGCGATACATAAATAAAATCAAATAACAACAGGACAACAGTGTCTTTTTAAAAATGTTCATTAATATACTGCAGCATATAAAATGTTATACTATGACCAAACATTTAACATGTGGACTAAAAAGCACAATAGCAGCAAGATATCCATATTCAACTACATTCATTTAAATAATTAAAATACTGAGCACAATATTAATAGGACAATAATTTGAAACAAATCAATCAAGAAGATTTCCCATGCAAGGCTGACTGTGGTCTTTCACATATCCCATTCATTTCCGTGGGAATTGCGGAGAATAACTTCCTGGTGAATTGTAATCTCATTAAGCGAGCCAACCAGTAATGGAAAAATGATACCCTACCTCTTTTTACTTCTGTAGAGTGCTGAAAAATTGATGAGAATCGGTAAACAGTAACACTAAACACAACAATACTTCTTTTTAACTCTTACATAAAAAAAAAGTTCAGTGCTAGTTCCCATATCACTATTCTAGAGTCTCCAATGAAGAACTTCAGTCAAATTTTGCAGTGCAGGTTCAGCTTTTGAGCCATTTTACACATTTAATGCAATAACCTATTGCCGTTATTATTAAAGTTCTGTTTAATGTAATAGGTTTTTATTTACACTAAGGTTTCTTGTTCTTCCACAGACTCAGATTGTTGTGGAGGATAATTACATGCCATGTGTTTGTAAAAAATACTGTTTAAAAAGCCAAAACAATGCATGTGGATAAAACTGTACAGCATTTGTTCTCTGCTCAAATACATCACACGAGTGAAAAAAAAAATGGATGAATTCTACATACTCTGGAGGACTCACTCCAGGATTCAAAAGTCCAAGCAGGCAATGAAAATAGTAAATACATGAGAGCACAGGGCCAAACTGAAAGGCTTTGAACAACCTTTGTCACAGGAATTAGCCTGGCTGCCTTTCACCAAACACAGCTCTCTTCATGTAGGGCACAAAACTGGAAAAGAATAAAGATATGCATATAGGTATTTTTGGATTGGCTCATCCCAAAACAGTGTCAGATATGAGCTAATAAAACTAGAATGCTGAGATCTCTATTCTAAAAGCGTTACCAAATTCACAGGAAGCAATTGCTATGCATAATGAATATGGACCTCATTCCCCATCACACAAACAAAACAAATCCATAAAGGAACACACACTACCATCAACTAATTACTTACAGAAATGAGTTAAATAGAAGGTCATGTCTTAGGTGACACAGAATAATTTTTTTAAAAAGTAATTGTACTGGATATCTAGCAGATCTCTGAGATACTCCATGCAGCAACAATGAAAGAACAACTCGGATGCCAAGTGTACTCTCTCCACTGACAGATTACAGCGGGAGTCAAGACATGTCCTTTACATATTCCTCATTCCTGCTTCAGAGCTAAAAGACACAAACCTCAGAGCAATCCAGCTTTCAAACCAATGCTAGCACAACACAAAAGCAAATGAAGAAGTAAGGTTTAAGGTTATCAAAAGAGGAAAAAGTACACATTTCTTTAGTATCATGAACATTTTGTGCTAATCTGAAAACAGGTTTTTATTAAGAAAATCTTTACCCTGCAGGTAATAAACTATAAAAGTAGTGTTAAAATCCCATTTTAATTCAAAAGGTTGGAAACAAAACCCCAAAGCTCAAAACCACACCAAATATATATATTTTTTCTTTGATAGCGCACAAACGTTCTCGTGTGTCAAGTTCTTTTCCACCCTTAAGTCAACCTAATGAGATTCTTGGTCGAATCTGCAAAAGATACTCAACCAGGAAGGTGAACAATTTCTCCCTCTTGCAAATGTTCAACACATCTTACACAAAGCTTGACATGGGAGAAGAGGGGTGTAACCCTTTCCCTTCCCAACCCTGTTACATGCCAGAGCTTTAAGCAATTTTCTTTGCTGTTCCTCTGCTGCTGCTTTTTGCCATTGGTTTTCATTCCACTGCCTACTTATTTAGGTTCAGGAACCTTTACGCCAGCAAGGGGTTAAAAGTATTTTTTGTATTCCATTTGATTAGCCTTAAGCATTGCATGGGGTGAAAAGTTTCTCTCTTCAAAATTCTGCTTTATTGGCAGCACCAGACTGCATGGGCAATTGGTTTAAGAAGGTATAAAAAGTTTCATTTCAGATGCCTGCAACAGGAGTTACTACTAGATATGAGAACTGTTTTTATATAGGTCTTTAGGTTATATTTTGTGCCTTACTAATGTGGAACATTCCTGGTTTGAAAGAAATATATTTGGTTAGAGTATTGTTTGGTTTGTTAGACATATTTGTACTGATATGTCACTCCAAGTAAAAAATCACAAGTAAAAGAAATATGATAATTGTTTCTAAAAAGTGTATGAGGACATATTTTTTAACATTTTATATTTTTTATCCCCTATCCTATTTATGCTATTTGCATATCTGCAGTGCCCAATGAATTTTCCAAAGCCT